AATTAGCACCTACTGGTTTCTAAATAACAAAAGATCTTCTCACAGAACAGTTTGCTCCTTAAAATAATGGGAACCTTTTTTCTAAGCCAGATAATGCAGAGATAATCTGCCTCATGGGTACTAAAAGAAATAAAACATGCTTGAAATAAAAAAACTCAGGATTTTGCCTCTAAATTTTGTTTAACTCTTCTGTGATCAGAGATACTTACAATGTGTGCCTATCTGCAAAGAGTGGGCCAGAATGTTTTGGATATTATAGAGCCTTGGATCCGGAGAAAGGTGGAACACTCACAGTGCCCTGCTCCGTCTTGCTCAAGAGGATATAGGAAAGTGACTGCTTTGACTCTGCTTCTTAAATATTCAGCTGGAACAATTATCCTATTGATGGATATTTCCCACCTTCCACCTTGACCAGTAAACCAGTAAACCAACTTGACAAGGACTCTGCAAACAAAATATGAAAATTTTGTTCAAATTTGAAAACGATAGAAAATGGCCAAATATGATTTTGAGCAGGTTGTGAGGAGAGGTAAGGCTAATTACAAGTATAAGCTGGAGAACAGGTTCCATGCCAGGGATAGATGAGGGGTGTGGCAGGGTCTCCAGCTAATCACTGTCTTTAGGATCAAACACACAGCCTATAACAACAATCCTAATTCCTGATTACCTCAGGAATTTTTTTTTGTAGATTTGACGGACTGACAACTAATCAACCGAGTCTACCTACAGTTGTGGAGCCCCTGAAGCCACCTTTTGAGAGTCAGGAGCATGAAGTGTCTCCTACACAAATCTGCTACACAAAGAACACAGCAGGAAGGCAGCGTGACCTGATCTAGTGCCCAAAGCAACTCTTAAGTGCTGTGCCTATCACTCGTTCCTGCTCTTTGGGTAAAGGGGGAGAAAGATGATGCTGGGGTTTTCCTCCACTATTCCCCGTCCCTGGTCTCTCAGGTGCTCTGAGTCCCTGGGCCGAACTGCAGCAAACTCTCGCAATTCTTCCTTCTCCAAAAGTCCTGAGCTCTCTCCTCACTGGGCTATCTGAAGCACCCCTAAACAGGCTCATGACTCACACCCCAGGTGTGGGGTGGGCATGTCGCAATGTAGTCTTGCATGTGGTCTGAGGTGATCAACTTCATGTAGATGGTCAGATGTATCGATGCAGTGTGTATTCACACACTGTCCCAGATCCCCCTTCACTGACAAAGGAAAGCTTAAGAACCTGAGGCAATGAAATACAGATGCACAACCCTTACAGAGATAGCTATATATTCAATGTGGGTAGCTGCGTGCTACAGCATGCTACATGCTGACCATGCGTCAGCATGGAATAAACCTATTACTTGTTCCTTTGCTATATATTCAATGCCCACTTAAGATCCAACATCCCCAGTCACCTTTCTTCTCACTCCCATTATTTTGACTCAGTGAACGTGACAGTGTGAAAGACATCTTTTATGGTGGAAAAAGTAAGGTAATCGAAAGTGTCATATTGTAAAAATTAAATTTGCTCCTTTTCAGATTTTTATGGTTAATTTTGTAGGATTAAGAGATGTTCAATGAGCACTGACATTGAATTAAAGTTGAGCTATATCTGAAAAAAAAAAACAGTTAATGAGGCAATTTCCAAACAAAGCTGCGCATCATGCGCATCCTCTTTCGTAAAAATCCGAAAATATAATAAAGATAAAGAAATACAAAAAGGGTTGGCAATGAAAAGCTTTCTAACTAGTGTTCATTTTTTGCCTTACACAAACAACAGTACAGGAACCTGTTCTGCCTTCATAATATGAACCTCATGTTGATAGACGCTCCGATAACAAACATAGAAAGAAACAAATAGAATATGTGACGTTATGTTACATAAAAATCAATTACTACAATTTTGTCCAGCATTTCTAAACTCACTAACCATAAAAGAGTAGGAATATTCAACATAAAATCATTTTACAAACCACCAATTAATCTCAAACGTTGTCCTGTACAACTTTGTCCCTCCCCGTTTCTCTCAGTGGGCTGTGACAGTCTGGTGCGTTGAACTATCCTCGAACAATAATTGGAGCTGGCTGATGCCAATCGGAGGGAAAGAATTTGCAGTTGGGAATGTTTCTTCGTGTAGAAGGTAGACGCTGAAATTGTAACATTAACTCATCACCTTTTTGAAGAAGGGATCAAGAACTGTAATTTGTTTCAAAATGGTATGTAAAATATTTGCTTATAAAATATGCAACGCAGTTTGCAAGTGCATCCTGAGCAGAACGGTGTTTCTGTTTGAGAAACGTACATTTATATACAGTAGTTGAATATGGACGTTGCCTATATTTCTTTACAAAAATATTCACTTGTACATTTTTATTTCATTTTCAATGAATGCGAAAATACATTGTTGTATTAACAGTTAGCAGTGTATCCAAGTCATGGTTTCACCGAAGTGCGAAAGGCTTATCTATGCCTGTTTTATAATAATAACATTTACAGCAACGCGACTTGGTATGACATCCAAGGAAAAACAGTGGTTCGTAAAATATTCCCCCAGGTACAGATGACTCTTTTTTTTTCGCTTTTCTGAACATTTCAGTATGGCTTTGTCAATCACGCCCTGGAACTCCTGGTTTTAAGAAATTACGGCCCTGAAGTGTGGGAAGACATCAAGTGAGTTACGAATTTAATTAAATTCAAAATCCACTGAGTGCAGAAAGCAAATTAGACGTTCGTATAGTTATTTTGGAGTGTCAGTTTTTTTTAGAAATACTTAAAACCACTTTAATATGCATTAACTATATTTCATTTTAATGTATCCCGTCTTAATATGTTAAGTGGTGTAACTACTAAAATTGTACTACTAACGCTCCTTCTACAGGTTTAACTACATCTGCTACAATGCTTTCCCATTTTTACAACAGCTTTAAAGTATTGACACTACTGCTTCTAACAATAAGAATCTTGATAATTATTGGAATTAGGAGAAACTTGAATATAGAACAGTCTTTCCACACTGCATCACAAAAAGGGCCTTTAGCTGAGTTTATAAACAATAACTCTTCAAGAGCACGGGCAACCATTTAATTCTGTTTATTTTACATTATTTGCCTTTTTAATGCAAAGAATTATACTCTTGAGTTTAAGAGCTTAAACACAGCTGTTCAAGCATTTAGAATTCCTAATTTAGCCCTTCCATATGAAAAATAATATAGGCAGTTGTCAACTGTTGAAATTCAAAGAATTGAGGTAATAAAGTAAACCCACATGATAATGCAATTTCTGCAGTTCTTTCAGTTGGCAGTGAAACTTTGGGAGTTGAAGTAGCTGCTGTCTCAAACCATTTGTCCCAAATTAGTTCCAGTTATCAGATACAACAAACAAAAATTGTACAAGTTATATACATCACCTAAGGAGGAGACTTGCACATAGGAAGTCACAGATTAATGTAAAATACAGTTTTGTGCCTGAATTGTTTTTATCTTAAGTGATAAATAGGATGCTCATTAATTTAACGTCAAATTGGAACAGCCTGATGTGGTATCCTGTTTAATTCCCTCAACTCTCTTATTCCCAGCTCTAGCATAGCCAATTTCCCAATATAGTAACTAATAGAAGAGAACTCTGTAAATTGAAGAGGCCCTGTTCATCTCATAAGGGAATATCCAAGCATTTGCTATGACAACAATTCTTGCTTTTTAGAGTGCAGATGTTGTCCACTCTGTACTTCATGTTTCAATCTGGCAGAAATTTCACGTGTTTTCTTATTTCTGGAAGTTAAAATTATGAGTTTATAAGAATTTTAATTTTAGAAACTCAGAAGTTTGCCGTTTTTGGGCCATTTCTCAAATTATGCTGGAGAAGTTTGAGTTTTAGATAAGCATTTTTTGGCAACTTTCTTATCCAATCATTATTTAGTTAAATGCTGTTGATGTTTCATAAAGGACTTCAGAAAGCAGTTACTGACTTTTTGTAAAAGAGAACTTCTGGATTTTGCTGGAAACAAGAATGTAATGTCTGTGTGAATATTTTCTCAGGAAAGAAGCTCAACTTGATGTCGAAGGCCAGTTTCTGGTCAGATTAATTTATGAAGATGCCAAAACCTATGATCTCGTTGCTGCTGCAAGCAAAGTTCTGAGTAAGTGTGTAACGCCAGAAACATTGAAATATAATGAATTCCTTATGTCAAAAATCATGTCAATCTCTTAATTCTTAATCATGGTAGTATGTTGCTTGCCCCAAGAACTGTTTTAACTGAAATCACTCTGACTTTCACTATGATGTGGCTGCTACTCAGTGTTTTGCTTCCTCTTTAACCTGCCTTTACTGTTTATGGCCTAAATTTTTATTTTTAGTGTAAAAAAAGTAAGAAGTGCCCATCTATTGTAGGAATGCTAAATTTAACAAGAGGTTTTCATTGTTGTACAACAGTATTTACAGGCAGCGGGACTTACTTGTCCCAAAAATTATCTTTGCACCTATGTTAAATGTACAGTACCCATGCTGAATATTATAATGTTATTAGGTTGCCTAATGATTGTTTTATATGAGGTGTGTATACCTCCTTTTATTAGGTACATAAATGTATCAGTTTGACATTTTTCAGAGTTCAGTGAAAAAACATTTCACATGTAGTGATCTTCAAAAAGCAGTTCATGTTTTTCATTCACACAAGGGAAAACTTTGCAGAGTTTGCATCTTAAAAGAGGCTGACATTCAATTTTCTGGAAGCACATAATTCACATCTGGCTCTTTGGGAGAAAAACCCTGGCCAATGTCCACCTCTATTCTGCAATCCAATGTCTTTTGGTATTGCAATGCAGTATCGCGAGGCCAAAGGTTCAGCCTTAAAGTTTATAGAATTGTTTTACCAGCAAAACTCTGAAGTCTCAATAGGCCATCAAGATCACTTAATTCTCTGTGGTTGTGTATAGTAACCAGATAGCTAAAAGACATACAAGCATTTTTAACATACTGTATTAAGAAGGGGATAAATAAATCTGAACATTGTGTATTTATAAATGTATGTAATTAGGTTTTACTGCTATATCATTGAGTCCACCTTTTCATACAATTCCATCTTATTTTAGTATTGAAAAATCTTGATGTACACTTCTGTTTCTTTTGTTAAATCAACCTTTAGTTACAGCTCATCAAGAATATGAATACATTTGGTGGCTACTGTACATTTTAGAATGTGAAAATATGTTTTTCCCTAAAACTGTTAGTGCTAGTTTAACAGGGACTTGCATTACCAATAGAGCAGTTATTGCTGATGCCTCTCAGCTCTAGGGTTCTGAGTTTGATTTCTACCCTGGGTGCCATCTTTGTGGAGTTTCTTTATCTCTATTTTATCTTATTTTTGGAGGGGTAGTCTAGTTTTCTCCTGCCTCAGTATTCCAAGACCTGTGGATAAAATTTGACTTGTGCAAGACAATTAGTGTTTATGTCCCCATGAGGAGGAGATCTGAGCATCTCTACCCTGACAATGGCTCTGCTGCCTCTCTGTCTCATGCTCTGTATTAAATATGGGTTGCATTTGAAGTCACCTCTGTTTTATATTTTGATTTATCTGGTCATACTAGGAAACTCCTCATGTGATAGTGGACCAAAAATATATCAGCTCAGTTTTTCCTGTGTTGGATTACTTTTGCAGGGTACCTTTACTTTCTTTTTTATGTAAGAAGTTATATCAAAACCTTACATAAGTTCTACTTGGTAGAATTTATTTAATCATGTTTTATGGAGTAACTTCATTGTGATACCCATTTAAAGAGATCTTTTTGGGAAACAAAGTAAAGGTGCTGTGTATATACTAGCTTCAAGATGACAGGACCACCCCAAATACAAATTGGAGAGTGCATGTTTTAGTCCTGTACACATCCAGGACTGTTGCATGAAGAGGGCACACCTGACTGATATGAATTGATTAGTGCAAAATGTATAATGTACAAGCAATTTTAATGATGAAGTGAACAGGGTGACTTGCGATCATAAAAAGATGTGAACAGCAGAGTGCGAAATGCAAATGTTATGTGGGATTTACATTTTTTTTAACAAATGGTGGATTTGATTGATTGTCGTTCCCTCTGCTCATTTGTTCCCTGAAAGATGATAATTTCAGTGTATGGTATAGTAATGCCAAACAGTTTTGACATCCTTTATGATATAAATAATAATTGTACAAATAATATTGAAAATGTTTTTTTTTAAATAAAACTAACATGGTTTTGAATTTAAAACATGCCTTTTAAAATATATAAATGAAAAGAGAGTCTTTCAGTTCTTCTATTTGCTTGTGTTGTCTGTCTGTATCTATTAGGAATTGATGCTGGGGAGATTCTGCAGATGTTTGGAAAGATGTTTTTTGAATTCTGTCAAGAATCAGGTTATGATACAATTCTGCGGGTATTGGGATCCAACGTTCGAGAATTTTTACAGGTAAGACTGTGCTTACTTTCGTAAACCATAAGAAAGGAGTAGAATGTGATTTACTCATGGCAAGCTTAGTGACTGATATGATGGTTATATTGTAGATTGATACATTTAATAAAAACAAGTCACTTTGTCAGTGTAACAGTGTAGAATTCTTTCAATATAATGTCTATTTATATGCAAGTCCAGATAAATAGAAAAGTCAGATAAAAACTAGTCTCAATAATGAAAAATTAGTTCTAAACTGGGGTGCCTTCTGTGTGGAGTTTGCAAGGTGTCCCTGTTTGTGTGTGAAGTTTCTCAGTGGTTTCCGCTAACCTTAATAAATTCACACTGATGAGGTTCAAAGCTGTCCCCAGACTGTAAGTCATGTGATGGACTGACATCCTTTCCAGGGTTTGATCCTGTTTTGTGACCTGTGTTTCTGGGATACAGTTTGCTGATACCCTTAAATGGATTAAATACCTTTCTGATAATGGATATATAGATCTCCCTTAAGGAAAATGATTTCCTTTACATTTTGTAGGCAGCATGTTAATGATAACACTAAAATTATCCAAATATTGAATTTTAATATATTAACATTAGTATGCACATAATCACATACTCGCTTTCATTTTTTGTTACTGTGCTTAGGCCAAACTTGGCAAGTATTCTGTGTTCTTGAGTGTGAAACCAGCTACTGTTAAACAGAATCTTTTTATCATCACATGTAGATCATAATCATGAAAACAGGCTATATACCATTACTAATACTACCTCACCCGTGAGCTCAGTTTTGATGCCCCTTTATTATCACGGTAAATTATCTGTTGTTCAGTTTTGTCAGTTTGAAATACAAATGCACACCAGTGTGTCCTCTTCTGTATTGTAAACCACAATGTTTCAGATGTGGAGCCATCTCCAGGTGAGTGGAAGAGAGTAAATCAATATTCATCCCTGAGGGAGGGCAGTTTAACCAGGGAGTGATGGAACATACAACATATAATAAGTAAAACAACTTTATAAAAAATACATTAAATTACAGAAAGGTAGAAGTGTCATCTTGTAAGATAGGGAAGTTATCATTGATGGTCTCAGGAATAAAAAGGATGTTAAGGGTGGTAGAGAAGCACCGTTGGAATGTAGTTGTGAGTCAGGGAATTCCTGTTAGTGTTGATGAGCCGGTGACTGTTTTTGGCCCTTTAAATGACATGTACAGGGTATCGTCCATCAAAAAAGAGTGCATTTTTAGGGCTTGGTTGTAGAAGGCTATGTTGTCACTACCTAGTCATCGGAGTCTGTGTAACTGTGAGAAAAGGAGAGAGTTTTTAGTATGTATGGGGTGGAAGCAGCTGTACAGAAGATAGCAGAGTGAGTCACTGGGTTTGTGATAGAAGCTGAGAGTTGTGGATGGTAAATGGAGAGGCAAGTAGTGGAAGATACAGTATGTTAACTGTAAATGGAAGGTATGGGTGAAAGTTTGTGAAGTGATGCTCTAGTTGGTCATTAGAGCTTATGGCAGCACCGACCCAACGCAGTCATCAGTGTATCGCTTATAGATGTCGAGGACAAAGCCAGTATATGAAGATACTTTCTGTTTAAGAAAGCAGTTGCCAGTAACTTCTGCAAGCTCCACTTTGTTCTTCTTAAATTGTCAACAGACCAAGTGTGTTCAACCAACTGATCAGGTGATGACAGGTGGTAAATCATTCCCCACAGCCATATGGTGAATGTAGGTGAGGCATGGACCTCTGTCTTGCCTTTGCTACAGCCTTTCTAGAATGGTATTTGCACAAACTTCCTAACCATTGTGTACAGCATAAATGCAAAAGTTTACACCGTAGGGGCGAAGAACTGAGATCCATGTTGGAAAAAGCTGCGTGCAAAAGGAGTGTTTTCTCATCGTGGAGGCACTTCATTCTAAAAGGGAAAAGCACTAATAAAAGCACCGTAGAAGAAACTTTCAGAAAGTAAAGGATATTTGTACCCTTATATTATAGAGCAAGGCAAATTTTACTAATTTTGTTAGATGACAGAATTCTCACCAGATGAAGATTAACCAAAAATTCAGTTCTAGTTGTGTCTTCTGAATCTTTAATAGCTTTGGCATTTCTCCCAACTTTTAGCATGTGAAGGATCACCATATTCTGACTTTTCAGAGTACTGTAAAACAGGATTTGCTTTTCTGAGACAACTTAATTTTGTTAATCCTGCAAGATCAATTTTTGCAGCATCAAAGGTTTTTCCTTTATTCTTTAATGTACAGCACCTCAGTTTCAGGACACCTTAATTTTGACACGTTTTTAAAAAGCTCGACAAAAAATTCTTGCTTATGGTAAATAAATCTTTTTTCAGCTTTCTGTATTCTCCAAAACAATAACCTCTAACCTCTGTCTCCTGTACGTGTACTGTACCCATATTTCCTTAATCTCTGCTTCTTCCTCTACAGTCAGTGGTCCCTATGTATCTAATTTCCCTAAGACGCACCTTATCTACAGGTACACCTTGTGCTCAGGTACTCCTTATCATGACAGCTGCACTTCTTTTTGACACAGTTTTTAGATAAGACATCTATAGTTGCACTAATGGAATGCTAAATATTTGCATAGCACCTGCCTTAATAAGGGGCAGTCATCTTTGTGCAAATGCAAACTTGCTTATAATTGGACTTTTCTTGAAGGGTTGTGTCTACATGTCTTATATTGATTTTTAAGAATCTTTGATGAATAAAGCCAAGGATTTACTTTAAATCAGTAAAGCTATATAGAACTAATTAATCTGTGCTTTATCATGTGGTACAGGCTCTAGTAACGTTTAATACAAGTAGTACTGCTTGCTGTGCCTGAAGAAATGTATTTGGAATTGACAGAAGTTGATTACAAGATAAGATCACTTTATTGGCCATATACCATTTTTTTGTAGTAGAAATTTGTCTTTCCGCATACCCCAACTTGCTCTCCATGAGACGCACAGACAGGGAGAGGCGTTTGGGGTCAGAGCGCAGGGTCAGCCATTAATACAGTGCCCCTGGAGCAGTTGGGGTTAAGGGCCTTGCTCAGGGGCCCAATAGAGTAGGATTCCTCTGCCGGCCACGGGATACAAACCGGCAACCTTCCAGCCACAGGCGCAGATCCTTAGCCACAGAGCCACCGCACCGTGGAAATAAGTGATTTTTAAGATAACTGATCATATGTAGAGCTGGATCTTTAATTAATTTCCATCTTGATACTTTCAATAACTTAAAGGATTAACTCAGTTTTATAATCTGTTCTTTAATTTGCAGTAACTTATTTAAGATCATTTGAGTTCATACCAGGGAAGTACATAAGAATCATATTAATTCATAGCAGTTTGATCCATTTCAGTGTTAGCTGGGGGGACTGCCAGTGCTTGTATAAGGAAACACTAGATGCTGAATATATTTGAATGGCAATGTAGTACATGAAGGGGTAAAATACTGTTATATAATTTTTATTACAGTATTAAACATGGCAGGGTGTAATTTTACAGGCTCTTGCGGTTAGCCAGCAGCCATATCACCCTGCAACTCACAACTGGCAACCCACTGAAGCTAAGCAGGTGTGAGCCTGGTCAGTACCTGAATGAGAGACCTCCTGGGGAAAACTAAGGTTGCTGCTGGAAGAGGTGTTAGTGGGGCCAGCAGGGGGTGCTCACCCTGTGGTCCATGTGGGTCCTAATGCCCAAGTATAGTGACGGGGACACTATACTGTAAACAGGCACCGTCCTTCGGATGAGATGTAAAACCAAGGTCCTGACTCTCTGTGGTCAGGTAGTCCCTGACCCAGGGCGTTTCTCGAAAAGAGTAGGGGTGTAACCCCGGCGTCCATTGGCCCTTACCAATCATGGCCTCTTAATAATCCCCATCTATGAATTGGCTTCATTACTCTGCTCTCCTCCCCACTGAGAGCTGCTGTGTGGTGAACGTTCTGGCGCACTATGGCTGCCGTTGCATCATCCAGGCGGGGCTGCACATTGGTGGTGGTGGAGGGGAGTCCCCATTACCTGTAAAGCACTTTGAGTGGAGTGTCCAGAAAAGTGCTATATAAGTGTAAGCAATTATTATTATTATTATTATTATTATTATTATTATTATGTAGTGCCATTATTGTTTACCTCAAAAAGTCTGTTTTTACTGCCAGTATTGCATGTAAACTGAAATTTTATCAAATTTCAGTAAGCATATGACTAACAAATGGTTTAGTAAGAAACTGATAAAATGAAAATAGATTTTGATAAGAACTTTGCTTACAAATTATTTGCTCCAGCTGTTGATCCAGTTCATTGACAGCTAATTTCTAATGCCATTGATAAGTGTTCTTGAAAGCTGTTATTTGATTATTGATTAATGACTTAATAATTTTTTCATTTGATCATAAATATTTCTAGCACTGAAATGTAATATTCTTTTAAGTTAATTTGCCATAAAAAAAGATTTTGTGAAAAGAGTCTCATTAGGGTATTATAATTAAAATGAGCTCTGAGCAAAGGCGTAATTTCATTTGTGCACAGTATTCACAAAAAGCCAGCAAGTACTGTAAGGTGTTTTGCGCTTCTGATTATTACTGAATATTCTGAGCATTTTCATCAGTGTGAACCAATGTGAATTTAAGCAGCTCAGTCTTTTAATGAAATTTGAAATTAATGGAAAGCTAAATTATAAAGCTCTATGCAATAAGTGTACGGAGTCAACCTATTTCAAGACACTAGCGCTAGGCCTATATGAATAAATAAAACAAAAGAGACCTTTTTTGCTTTGAAAAGGTGAAGATAAGGGCTGTAATAAAATACACTTGATTAAAAAAATTATCTTAAAGGTCATTTTTCTCTTTATGCTCTTAGAACCTTGATGCCCTGCATGACCACCTGGGTACTATCTATCCAGGGATGAGGGCTCCATCCTTCAGATGCACTGATGCAGAAAAAGGAAACAATCTTATCTTGCACTACTACTCAGAAAGGGAAGGATTGCAAGATATAGTTATCGGGATCATTAAAACGGTGGCACAACAGATTCATGGAACTGAAATAGAAATGAAGGTGAGTTTTCAAATGATTTTGGTTTATTTTTAATGTGTTTATGTCTTCTAGTTTCAGTGATTCCAGTGGGTTCAGCTTCATGGTACAATAAGATCTAACTACACTCTTAATTAGGATGTGCTTATTAAGATGTTCTTTCACTGTCACCACGTGGACTAAATCACAAGTCCAGTTTAATAATTTAAGGTAATTTGAATTTGGCATGGGCAAGAAATATGACCTACTGTATCTAGCATGAGCTCTGTATCTAGCAGAGGAATAACGTGGGTGGTTTTGCAGAGCCACTCATAAAGTAAACTCACAAGATGAATAAAATCTGGTGAGGTTTCCATATGTGTTTTGATTTTACTCCAGACATGTTGCTGGAACTAAATGGAAATTGATTTTATCACATCGCTGTCCAGTCCTGCAGTTAGAGGGGTAGGTTTCTAAACTAATCCAGCCGGTATCGGATTAATTCTACTAATTTCAGTTCTCCAGGTGCAGTAAAGCAGCTGCACCTGGAGAACTGAAATTAGTAGAATTAATCCGATATCTGCTGGATTATTTTAGGATCTGAATGTTAGGATAAAAAAACACCGCAGACTCACTGGCCCTTCAGGACCAGGATTGGACATACTCGCTCTAGTGGCTGTTGAGGTCTCATTTTATCAGTTTTAATTGTGAAGACTTACTTTTTGACCAATATCATACAGATGAAAGGCGGATGCATGGGCTAACAAGCAAATTAGCCACGAAAACATTTTCACTGGGAGTTGGAAAAATATGGTTTCCATGCACAGAAAACATGTATTCAAGAAAATCATGCTTAGAAATGCATTGATGAAGTAATGATCCAAATGTAAAAGTCCTACTGCTTGCCAGGCTTTTTAATTTTTGTGTTACCTTTCTCATCTTTCTAATTGCGTATGAACACTATTATTGAGATAATAAGGACTTGTTGAAAAGATTTTCAAGTAGGTAGCTGTGTCAGCATGCATAGAATGCAAAGGAACAAGTAAAGGATTATTTCATGCTGAAAAGAGAAGAAAAGAAACAATGTTTTGGCTGTGGAGCCTTTTTCGGGTGGGCTCTTCTCTTACTAGCTCTCACCAGCATTCCGTCTCTTCACAACGATCTTTTTCAAGACCAGGCTTTCTAGCCACGTCCTATTCCTTTATAGATGCCATTGTTTTAATATCATTCCTAAATGATTTCGCCTGAAAGTTAACAATTTTTCCATTGACTCTGACACCACCCCGAGTAACACCCACACCCAAAGAAAGGCTCCACAGCTGAGATGTGTTTCTTTTCTTCTCTTTTCAGCACGGAATAAACATTTACTTGTTCCTTTGTTGAAAAGATGTTGTCACTCATTGTTTCCTTGCTAAAGGTGTTCGCTCTTCTGGAGGAGCCAAAGTAAGAGCAGACACAGTCTTAAATGTTCTGATGTCATCTGCTCAGCAAATGGTCTCAAAACTGAATTGGAGGACTGTGTTGCACAATGCAGAAACGCTATTTGCAGTTTTATGCAAAGGTTTGGGCACCCCTGGCCAAATTACATGTTTTGTTGATTTTGGAAATGAAAAGAAGTTAAGACAACCTCCAGAACGAACAAACTTAAACTTTACATATTTTTGCAAATATTAATCAACAGTTACTATTTGCTAAATTTAACAGATTAAAAAAAAGAAACTGTAAATGTGGCATGTGCAAAAGTTTGTGTAACCTTCCAGTTGATCCACTAGTGTTATTTTTTTGTAAGCTCTCAGAACTTAATTGACTCTTTAGGCCTTAATATAAGTCAGGTGATGACAATTCCAGATCTTAATAAATTCTCTGACTCTTCGAACCTCTCAGGGTGTTGTGTACTCAACAACCATGGGCTCCTATAAGCAGCTGACTGAGGATCAGAAAATAAAGATGATTGACTCTTACAAAGCAGGGAAAGGCTATAAAAAGATATCTTAATGCTTCCTGCTTGCAATTTCCACTGTCTGAAATGTCATTAAGAATGGAAGTTAAGGGGAACTGTTGAAGTAAAGACCAGATCTGGAAAACCAAAAAAAATCTCAGATAGAACTGCTTGTAGACTGGTCAGGAATGCAAAGCAAAACGCCCATATCACTGTAAAGGACTTGCAGAAAATTTTAGCTGGCACAGGACTAGTACTAGTGTACTGGTCCACTGTGCAGCGTTGTTTGCACAAACATGATCTGCATTGAAGAGTCATCAAAAGGAAACCTTACCTGCGGTCTCATCTCAAAGTCAACGTCTGAAGTATGCAACACAACACTTAGATAAGCCAGAGGCAATGAAGTCAGTCTGGTCTGATGAAGTAAAAATTGAACTCTTTGGCTATAATCTCCAAAGGTAAGTTTAGAGAAAAATAGGATAAGCATTTGAAAAAAAGAACACCTTGCCAACTGTTAAGCATGGGGGTGGATCTGTTATGCTTTGGGGTTGTGTGGCAGCCAGTGGCACAGGAAATACTGTGTGGGTAGAGCAAAGAATGGATTCTACTAAGTATCAACAAATCCTGGAAGCTAATGTCCTACAGTCAGTGAAGAAACTGAGGCTGAAAAGAGGTTCGATATTACAACAAGACAGTGATCCCAAACATACTTCAAAAACAACCATGAACTACTTCAAAAAATGAAAAATGTTTTGCAATGGCCTTCACAGTTCCCAGACATGAATATTATTGAAAATGTGTGGGTAGATCTCAAACATGCAGTGCATGCAAGAAGACCTAAGAATATTTCTGAACTAGAAGCATTCTGCAAGGAAGAGTGGGGAAACAATTGCTAAAGGAAGAATAGAAAGACTGTTAGATGGCTACAAGAAATGTTTGGAGGCTGTGATTTATGACTGATAGGGTGCCAAAACCTTTGCACATGTCACACTTTTTATTTTTTTTTCAATCTGTTCAATTCAGCAAATAAATAGTAATTGTGCATTACAATTTGCAGAAATATGTCAAGTTTAAGTTTGTTCGCTACAGAGGTTGTAATTACTTCTTTTCACTTAGAAAATCAACAAAACCTGTCATTTGGCCAGGGGTTCCCAAACTTTCCCCTAAATCTGTCTTCATTTACTTATTCCTTCTCTTGATCAGGTGTCTGAACTTGTGATGCCTCCTTGTTGAACTAAAAGGATTTGTCTAAGGACATGACAAACATAGCATCTGTTTATTTAGCTGAAGATAAATCCCTTGCTTTAAAATTTGGAAGTAATACCAATACAATTGTGGTCTATATACTGTGTCTTGCAAAAGCCTTCCTTTGCCTTCCTTAATGTCCCATATTGAATATGTTGCATGCATATCTTTATATATACTGTAATATATTGTTGAATGTTCAAACTATTGACTTTTAAGGGTAAGGTAAATCACACAAAAATTAGCAAAACCTAAAGTTAAAAAATTGAAATATGTTGATTGAATAAATATTCAGATGCGAGAAGTCAGTATTTGGTGGAAGGACCTTTGTTTAGAGCTGAAATGCTTTCTGGGTAAGTCTCGGTGAGAACATACCCGCTTGATGCGATTTCTGGCCGATCTTCTTGGCTGATGTGCTCAAGCTCTCTGAGGTTGCTTGAGGGTTGCATATGGACAGCACTTTCCAAGTCTTTTCACTAGGATTCAAGTCAGGACTTTGACTGGGCCACTCAAGGACATTCTCTTTCTTATTCTTAAACCACTCCAGTAAAGCTTTGACCTTGTGCTTTGGATTATTATGCTACTGTAAATTGAAAAGTGATCTTTTGTCTCAGTTTGAGATCTAAAGCAGGTTTTCTTTTCAGATTTGCCAGTACTTTGCTCAATATTTGATCTCATCAGTTTTTACAATTTTTCCTAGAAATGAGAAACAGAACTACAACATAATGCTGCCTCCACCATGCTTGATAGTAGGGATGGTGCTGACTGATGTTTTGTACTACATTTGAGTCAGATGTCATGCTTTGCATTTAGACCAAAACTTTCCCGTTTTGTCATGTCTGACCACATTATCATTTGCCACAAGTTTTCAATGGAGCATCTAATTGATAATGCAAACTCCATGTGGGACTTGAGATGTTTTTTTTAGTTCCATACAAGTCCCCTTTATGGAGTGACTGGGATATACTGTAGCTGACCCATGGACATTTTCTCCCATCTCAGCCACTATGCCTCAGTATCTGTTTCAAAGTTGGTGTTGGCCTCACAGTGGAATTCCTAACCAATTTCTTTCTTGTCTGGCTGCTCATTTGAGAGACACAGTCAGATGTAGATTGTCTGGGTGTCTTCCACTTCTTAATGATCCAACTTCACTGTGCCCGAAGAGATATCAAGGGGCTTTGACATGTTTGTATACCCTTTTTCTGATCTGTGCCTTTGTACAACTTTATCTCTAAGCTTCTTTTTTAACCTCTTTTGTCTTCATGGTTTAACCTTTGCTTGAAATTCACTATCTGGCTGAGGGACCTTACAGAGACAGTTCTGTATATTTATTCTGAAATCATGTGAATCACATTTATTGCACACAGAGCACACTCAACTGATTGTATGACTCATTAAGTTTGTGTACTTCAGTAAATTAAGGTTTGCTAAAGTAAACCTAATATGAAATCATAAATTCTTGTTTTTTCTTTCATATCTATTTACTACTTTGTTTTTTTCCTTTCCATATGTGGTGAAGGTTGTATATATAAAACAAATATATTTGGTCATGACTGGCCTGAATACGTTACAAGGCACTGTACATTGTATCTATTGTTTTAAATTTATGCAATGTAAATCTGAAAATAACTATTTTCAGGAATTCTTAAAATTTCCTTTTAGTTTCTGGCATTCAAAAATTAAAATAATTGTCTGTTTTCTGGGTTTAATGTTTCAAATATAAGACCACATTCCGGCTTAATTACCTAGTTATTCACAATGCTTTTTTCTACAAATATTAAAAACAAATGAATATTTACTGAAAATAGTGATCATAGTTCATAATATTAATGCTTTCATTGCAATTAAATATTTGAACATAATTCTATTCTTCAAATAGTATATTCTTAAGCATAGGGATTCTTTTGTGATCATAAGCACTTCCAGAAAGCTGTCTACAAATCGGGTGTATAAGTTTTATTTTTGCTTATGACAATGAAGAAGAGGTTAACCTGGCTTTGATGTAATGGTATACTGTATTGTATGTTTAAAGATGTCTGTAATTATTTTCTGCTATTAATGTGTTTTGAAATTTTTAACACAGATAAGCTTCAAAGCTTTTTTGCTCCACAGTTTGTTTAATATGTATATATGTATAATATATGTATGTTTAATAACATAGTTCCCTTTTCCAAATTTAGTAGGTGTGAATTAAAGATTTACAGAAGAAAAACCTTAATGTAGAAATAACTATTTTATATACTGTATGTGTCATTTTCTAATAGTTTTAGAATATACAGATTATAAGAAAAAATAATGCAGAGGAAAAACAAAACTAACAGGAACTATATTTTACAAAATAACTCTGAGACCTAAACACTAAAAATATGGGTTCACCACACACCCTTGTCAATGTGTAAGTGTATTATAAATATTTCAAGTAGGTAGCTGCGTCAGCATGCGTAGGCTGCAAAAGAACAAGTAAATATTTATTCCATACTGGAAAGCATAGAAAAAATCAACGTTTCGGCAGTGGAGCCTTCTTCGGGTGTCATCTGAAGTGTTTGCGTTCTTCGGATGTCATTTGGGCACACCTGAGGAAGGCTCCACAGTTGACTTGAAATATATTTTCAATATCTGTATTGCTGAAACGTTAATGAAAAATTACCCATTTACTTAAGATACAAATATGATTCTAGTGTGAATTAGGTAGAACTATTTTTAACACATTATACTGTATGTTATACCAGCATATTTGACCTTTAAGACATCAGCTCAAAGCACATTATTTCCATGAGAGATGTGTTGAGGCTATTTAGTTCCTACAGATTAGACACTAAGGGAATCCAGTAACATTTCCCTGCTTGTATACCAAAGCTTCCAAATGAAGCAGTTTAATATTCATGTCAGAGTTCTTCTCATGAAGGATTACTGTTAACAATTTAGTTTTAGTTAACTGAAGAGTTGCCTTCCGTGTTTCAAATGGCTGCATTTCTATGGGGTTATAAGTCTCCACAAATCCCAAAGATGATCAATTATAGATACTTTTCTCAGTTTTAAATAATCTGCATGTCGTATTTAATTTTGACAGTACTGTGCTCTATGCTGAGAATGTCATTGTAAATTGGAAAATTAAATAATGTGCAGTACTTTCTCACAAAAATATTCTTTTGTGCTTTAATTGAATATGCATTTGTAACTACTATTTATATTTTATTACATTATTCAACTGTAAATGACAAAGGTCAGGCATTATGTAAACTGTTCTTTTGGAAATTTCTAGACTTAAACATTTAAACAGCAAGGTTGCATTTTGGAATGTTTAATTCAACACTGTTAAGCTTTATCTTGTCCTTAAATTGCAGTGTATTTTTTCTCTGAGCATAGAGTGGAAGAGTAGGTTTGACATCCAGTCTAAATCCGACTAGACATTTATCTAGATGTTAACTGAGGTTGCTATGGAAACTGTGTTTTCAGACACAGTAGGCTGACGTCACTAGTAAAAGGCCTCAGCACAGTTACCCAGTGGACATTAGGCCTGATTAGCCACATTTGTCACTGACAGTATTATTTTTTCTCTGACCTTGACATTTGGCATTTAACAGTTCTTGCTTATATTGTTTTTATATTCTATATTTCAATTATGTCTTCTAGGAACAGTAAACCAAAATAATAGTTATTCTGTAAAACACTGCACTGTTTTATATCTAGTGTATTTATCACAGTTCTTATCCCTTATTCCTGTGCAGTACACTATGTGATTTTTCCCAACAAATTATTTGCTTTTTTGAATGATTTTTCCAAATTTCTGTTTTCTGATTTTGCAATCTGAAGAGATGTTTTTCAAATATTATTTAGTTACTAATTTTAAAAATGTTTAAAGTACAACAAAAATGTCAAATAAAATGTACATATAACTGCAAAACATAGAGTAAAATGTTAAAAATGTTTCTCAAACCACATTAATGGAGCAATTAGGCAGGTCAAAAGCAGTGGAAATGGAATTAAGAATGTAAAGTGAAAAGATCAGTATTGGGACAATGCAGTGAAATCAGTCATTTTTGCTGTGTATTATTGAAATTTGTATTTCACATCCAAAGATAAATATGAGGCAAACATACAGAATGTCACCTCTTGTGTTTTGAGGGTTACTGGTTAATAAAAATGACTGTATTTATTAATTAGAGGTTCACCTATTCTTTATTTGCATTTTCATGCTTTAGGTCATCCAGCAAAAAAGTGAGGAGTGCGATCACATCAAATTTCTTATTGAAGAGAAAGACTCGGAAGAGGAGGCCTTTTATGAGGATTTGGATGGCTTTGAAGAGAATGGTACCCAGGAAACCAGAATCAGTCCATACACTTTCTGCAAGGCCTTCCCTTTTCACATTATGTTTGACAGAGACTTAGTGCTCACACAGTGTGGAAATGCTATCTTTCGAGTACTTCCACAGGTAAAACACCTTCTCCATGTGCTTGTGTGCTGTAGTACAAAATGTTACAAAATTGTAAAATATCTTATTGATACATTGCATTGTTGTTATAGGCATCCCAATTGTAGTGGAATTGTCAACGCTGCAATTCCTTCAGTGTCTGCATCAGGCACAGTGTGAATTTGAGGATAGTGTTTGTGTTACCTCTGCTTTATGCCTGTTATGTATTTGGGTGCCAGGTCTGGTTTTGGCCCTGAAATTACAGTTTTGTTTTAAATTATGGATCTCTCGGTGCTGTTTGTAATTGGGGATGTTGCGCCTAAAGGCAGCAATGCTATGATTACATAATTAACAAGGCTATTACCTTCTCTGCATTTTGAATTTAGTAAACATATCTCAGAAGAAAAACACATCTTCATCTTAGCTTTCAGCCCAGTAAGACACAACCAATTGGACTTCAGTATTCAAAATATGTGACCTCATATATTTTCAGATTTCTAAATAGAAAGTAAATATTTTCTGCTGTGTCAAGGTTATATATTGAACTGTTTAATGACTAGAGGCTGCATTCTAATTGAAACAACAATCTAATGGGAGATTGAATATACCAAATCTCCATTTGGACTGGTAACAGCTACTGTATAAGGAAGAAACATTTTCAGTCATCTTCCCATTCACTTTTGTTATATATCTTATTAGTAAACCCTTGCTGTCATTGATTAAAAAAATAATCCCCAAAAGCCTAAACTTGCTTCTGCTTAGTTTTCCATAGTTTTCTGGATAATACTGATGCATACTGCCTGAATTTGAAGTAATCTAGTCAAAGATTTTAAGCTTCTGTGTTTTTTGTTGGGCAGAGAGTTGTGGGTCCTGATGACTTGAGTTGTGGCAGGAGTGACTGACCTCCAGGATGTTGCTAATTCCATCTTCTAGGGATTTGATGTGGAAATTAGGCAAACTTAAATTTGTTTTATACATAGGTTTACATTAGTGCAGTGTACTTTTCCATTTTCATCTTCCAACAAAAATGGATTTGATAATGGTAGTCTTATTATATGTATTCCTTTCATCTAGCCTTGACAAAGTTGTTTTTGATATGTATATGATCTATAATCGAAAAGAGCTCTTTATAAGCTCTAAACAATATCTTCGTATTGGATTTATTTTCATTAGATTATTCACTTACATATTCATTTAGAACTAAATTATGGGCGGAGTGGTGGCTCTGTGGCTAAGGATCTGCGCCTGTGGCTGGAAGGTTGCCGGTTCATAACATGGCCAGCAGAGGAATCCTACTCCGTTGGGCCCCTGAGCAAGGCCCATAATCCCAACTCCCCCAGGGGCGCTGTACAATGGCTGACCCTGCGCTCTGACCCCCAGCTTCTCTTCCTGTCTGTGTGTCTCATGGAGAGCAAGCTGGGGTATGCGAAAAGACTAATTCCTAGTGCAAGAAATTGAATATGGCTAATAAAGTGATCTTTTCTTATCTTAAATAGGAAGAAGAATTCTACCCAAAATGAAATCATGTAGTAGTGTTGAAGTACTCGGTAGAACAGTTTAACAGAGCATGAGTTATGTGTTTAATCTGTAATGTAACATTTTGTTTTTTCACAAAAGCTAATGCATTTTTAGTTTTCAGTTGATGTTAAAATAAAGCAGTAAAAATCAAGTTAAATACATATACAGTAAATGATTCATATTTTGAATGCTAAGTACATAATTGAAATGTGCTTTGTGCTGGCACAGTAAAGTTTTTGATAAAACAATTGTCAAAATAAAATTTTACTAGGACAGATATTTATTTCATTTTAAAGCAGTTAATTGATGACCTCTACACTTTACGTTACCTCCTCCACTGATCTTCACTAAAGCCAGAAAGATCAGGAAACATTCATTCTTTCAGAAGGCAGCTTGTAAGAGATGCAGTTTTTCAGCATATTGACAATATACAAACCGTACTATCCACTTATTGAAACATGCAATTTAATTGTGCTATCTCACAATATTAACATATTGTCACATATTGTGTGGTCAGAGATGAAGTACATCAAGCAATATTCTGTGAGACTCATAAGAAAAAGAGTCTGTCCTATTGATATTGTGAAAGTGAAAGTCACATTTGCATGAATTCATTTGTGCTTTTTAATTCTTGTTGTTTTATACTATAGCTCCAGCCTGGAAGCTGTAACCTGCCATCAGTTTTTTCTCTGGTTCGCCCCCACATTGACTTCAGTTTCCATGGAATCCTCTCTCACATCAACACTGTTTTTGTGTTGAGAAGCAAGGTAATAAGTAACAGCTTTCAAACAGAATAGCAAAACTTTTGTTTTAAATTTTAAGAATTATATAATTTTATCATATGCACTGAGCTTCAGAAGAAATGTATTGCTCTGTTAATGCATGTGTGATTTTAGAAAAAATATAAATATTTTACCTATTGATGAAATGATTTTTTAATCATTTTGTGTTACACACTTTACTGAGCCTGCTACACTTGAGTGATTTTGACTGTTGCATAAGCACTTAATCACCTCAGTATTGCAAGAGTTGATGGAGAACAGTTGTGGGTTAATTTATCCTTTTTAATGTCAAACCTGCTTAAATATAAGAGAAAAGACAGATTACTTATCACAAGAGTAATGTCTTTGTCCCATCAGTATATTGGAGGCTGGGCTGAGTGCACTGTCACTTGCCATCTTGAGTTTCTAAAGTCTTAAAGTTTGCAATTTGTGTATATATTGTGACTTTAACCTTGTGTGTTTCTGAATTGAAGGTTCTATGCATCTGCGAAGTTGTGATATTCACTTTGTAATAGATTATTTTTTCAGTGCAGCACAGGATTTGGGTTCATTATGAATAGTAATATAATCTTAGCAAGGCCATATGACTGACACTTTAATTAGAATGAGACAAACATTCATGCTTATTTATTTCTGCAAACATTAATTTTATAATTGATGAGTAGTCATTGATACAGGCTTACTCTTCTATGAATTGTTATATCATTGTAATAATATTAAGGATATTTAATGAAAATTTGGTGGAGGTCTGTTTAGCTCTTAAGGAATGAGAAATCTTTGTTATTTAAGGAAGCTAAAAAGCAGCAGATTGCTTCAACAAAATGCTGACTAAATCATACCCAGTGATTATAAATATAAAAGTTGGTAGAATTACCTAACCTACAGTAAATCCTATTGAATTGATTTGCGTAATCTGAAGGAAGTTCAATTATTGCGGCTAAGAAACCCATCAATCTGATTACACATACTGTTGAGGTACCTACATAGAAAAATATCACAAGACTTATAATATGTCTTAAATGAAATATGTGAAGAGCCCAATGCACAGATACAAAAACACATTTACTGTATGTGTTTTCATTTATGTGTTAGATATCTTAAATGTTGTTAGATAAGCCAAAGAGAAACACAGTAGTACTGCCATTGAATGTGCAAATTATGAAAAAATATATCAGTTATAATGGAGGCTGAATACTTCATATTTGGACTGGCTGCATTAATTAATTCTTACTTATATGAAACTTGAGTTTTCACTGTGTTTTATTTCTAAGGAGGGTTTGCTGAATGTTGAGAAGTCCGAGTGTGAAGATGAACTGACTGGTGCTGAGACCAGCTGTTTGAGGCTCAAGGGCCAAATGATTTATTTGCCGGAGGCTGACAACATCCTCTTTCTTTGTTCCCCAAGGTATGCAGTATTCTGCGTTAAAAAGTATCTTACTTGGTTGTACAGTACAACTAAACCAGGAGTGTCAAACATTGGCCCGTGGGCCAGAACTGGCCTCCAAACCCATTTCCGATTTGTTCCACAAAAAATGTTTGCAATACACAACTTCAAATAATTAAAATGAAATTCCCATTGTTTTACATGTAAAAGTATGGCCCATTCCTGAGGTCTAAAAAACAATAAAGTATTACTCAGTTACTGCCTTAAGTATGCTGAATTTTCAAAATAATAACACTATTGTGCATTTTTAATAACGGGCATGTTTAACTAAGTACAGTCATTAATAAGAAAAAATGACATTTTACATTTAAATCAAATAAGTCATCGCAAATTAGTTTCACACCCCTGCTCTAAACACTAAGTTAGACAACACTTATCGCCATTTCCTTTTCTGATATATCATGTGACCTTGTTACTTTTCTTATTTCTTGCATGAAGAACTGTAAATCTGCAGGATATCCCATTTTATTTGAGGCCCTACAGTGTCTATGTGGAAGAAAAGTATTTTCTTTGTTTCTTACAGCCTGAGTCAACTTTAGCAAAATGGATTTCATTGTATTCCTGTCAATTTTTATATTGTACGCTACATCTCATGTGAATGGTAACTCAAGTGCCTTACAGCAGGTACTAATTCTTTTAGTAAAGCTAATGGAATTCTAACAGAACCTACTTCAACATTTAACTTGTATCTAAAAAAACCCAACCCAAGTTAGAACTTCCAGCACTGATATATTGATGCATTGTAGTAATGTGCTAAATTGGTTTGGTTAGTTTTCTTTTAAACTTGAACTGTGCCATCCCATTGTACAGTATATTCCACTGACTTTTATTTTATCCTGTGATACTGTATACTTAGATGCATTAGAAATGCAACACTGTTATTAATTGCTATACCAATATATATTAATGTTACAGTACCTTTTATATACTGTATATATACAGTATATTTGGTGTTGCCTGCTAGAACAACAGTCTTTTTGTGCCCAGTTTTCTTCTACCAATCAATCACAAACAAATATTTACCTTTCACTTTTCTAGAGAATGTGTGTTTTGATGGGCTAAGGATGAGTACCAGCAGAATGAAACAAATTATTCGGTTTAAAATGCAGTGGAAAAACAAGTTTTATATTGTAACGTGGCTTCTTGCTTTTAAAAATATACTGTACATTAGTTTTTAATCAGATTACTAACAATAATTAAAGTTTACTACCAATAAAAAGCTTTGGGATTCTGATACTACAACCTATGACCTGCATCTGTATCTGTGTTTTTTTTTTACATGGAGATAAAAAAGATTGGGGTGGCACACTGCATGCCAGGATAGGCTCTGGCTCCCCAACTATCCTGAACTGGAAAAATAGGTTAGACAATGGATGGATGGATAAAAAAGATTGACTTGAATTGTGTGATGTGTCTCAGCGTGATGAACCTTGATGATCTGACCAGGAGGGGATTGTATCTGAGTGACATTCCCCTTCACGACGCCACGAGGGATCTAGTGCTGTTGGGGGAGCAGTTCAGGGAGGAATACAAACTGACGCAGGAGCTGGAGATCCTGACAGACCGACTGCAGCACACCCTCCGGGCCCTGGAGGACGAGAAGAAGAAGACTGACAGGTTGTAATCACGTCTGAATTTCAGTTTTTCTTACTCTCCATAATGAATTTATTTAACAACTTGTGAGTTCCTTTTTTCTGGTTTGCACCAGAAGAGGTAGTCAAGAGTACTATTAAAGCCAATTCACATCGTACTTTGTACTGTAACATATTCTGATTTAAAATAACTGAAAGAAATTAAATTACTAAAGTTGAAACTGTCTAGTGGTTGAATGGTGCACAGAGCATAGTAATCATCAAGAGATCAAATTAAAAGTTGTTTTAGTTTTCCATGTTTCTAAATTGGATAAGCTGTGGTTATAACTTTTGGTTATCAGTCCTGTCTGAAAGCTTTCAGTGCATTTACACATCCATATAGAAATCCTTCTCAAAATATAGATCTAGTCGTAAGAAAATGCATTCAAAAATCAACATACATTCATAAGCTTGAACATAAGTTGTACATTTGTTGTACACTGTTGTTTTAAAGCTATAGTATATTTAATTAAGTGAATGATCAAAATAATGATTTATTTAAAAGATTTTGGTAATTTAATCCATAAAACATTAACAAATGATAAACTGTTTTGTCCTCGGTTTTCACTTTCACTGTCTTCATGGAGAATGTGTTCTGTGTTAAATAATTTAATGGCTCAAAACATCCATTAAGTGAAATCCAAATAGTGAAGAGATAAGAGAGATATCTGGGAAGTGAGATAATATAATTTATTGTTCTATTTTTGCAAACTATACAGTCTAGTAGCTTGAAGTTAGCTTTGCACCCAAATATAATAAGATGCTGCCTGTCCTTGGTCAGTAAGATAAAGGGCATGTATTTGGTAAGCTGGCTGTATGCCCAGAACATGAAAAGAACTAACTGTTGTCTAGTTTGCATCTTAGATATAATTAATTGGCATGTGTTGCTGTCTTATCATTTGTTTAGAATGTGTCATAGTAAGGTATAAAGGACCATCTTCAGCTACTTATTGTTTAAGTCTGGTGGTTGCAAGCCGGACTTCCATATGCATATGAAATAAAGAGACTTCTGCTTCACAGACACCTGAACGTTGTCATTTGTATGACACAACATTTGGTTCTTTGATTTAGACCTTCAGTGAGCCACATTTTTAAACTTGATCTGACAGATTATATTGGATGTAAAAATTCCATGAATATTTAATGCTCACCTTCAAGGTGATTTAATATAGCTAACTCTTGACTCTGCTTCAGAGCACCGAGAAAGTCAGTTTGCTGGTGTTAGCAACCAAACGTAATCTCCAGATGCTTTTTGCTCCCTGGCAAATATTGCAGTCTTCTATAAGATAGGTTTAGTCATTTAGTGCAAAGTGCATTTTGATATATGTGATGCATGAAGTCCTCCAGGGCAGATTAACATACTGTGGGCTGATTAAACATGTGTCCCTGTTCAATATGAATCCATGTTTCTGCTTACAAAACTTGTTACATGATAATACACTAGGGAATATGACATTGTAAATCACAGTATATATTATTAAGAGCATGTTGCCTAAAAGTATTACAGTACATATAGTGTATGAAGCAACCAAGACAAAAGTTTGTTTTTGTGTGTTTGCTTTCAATATTGTCTTATTTACAGCATTAAACTTAATCTACACTCTTAGAGTCTACAGCAGGAATGTATTAAATATTATGAAGTTAAAATAAATATCTTTTTCTATGACTTCATGTATTTTAAATGTTTACATTGAAATTCAGTCAGTTAAAATTGTTTTTAAAGAAACCTAATAGCAAGCAAAAACATGCTCAAATGTTGTATCGTTTAGGAATCAATGACATACAGGACTTATTAATACACAGTAGCCAAGGAAATGATATCTATGTAAAAAAAGTCAATGTCCAACATTTACTGAGAAGATTCTAAGAATCTGTAGCAGTGGCTGAAATTTAATAGATATCCTTAACCTTTCACTCACACTTTGAAGTCATCTCTAGTGACACTGGCTATGACAATGCTTGCCAGGTTCTAGGTTTATTCAGGTTTTATAAGGGTTTTTAAGTCTGTGCTGAATAGACATGGAAGAAGGTGGTACATTTTCAGCAAATAAAAATCAGACAACCCTAAGACACTAAGTGTTTCTCCACAGGCTTTGAAGTTAGCATATTTTATCTGATAACATTTTCTTTAAATGGTTATTTTTCAAAGTAGTGCATTACGTGTGTGGATTAGAATGTACAGTGGACTCTCGAGAATAAAAAACATGACATTTTATGTAGTGTGCTGATCAGGAAAGCAGTATACTAAGCAAATCCTAGCTCATGAAGGTCTTTATCTTGCAGTGCAACTTTTACGTCCTGGACTATTGTGAAATCATAGTAAGCATGTAACACTAATATCTTTGATTTAGTGGTTTTTCATTCATATCATTTAGTTTTCATATTTATGTCAGCTCATTATAGCATTATAAGCAACAGTTTTTAAGCATTCATATTCGGTTTGCATATGAATGTTAATTTTAATGTAAACCACAGTTGATGGTGACCTGTTTATTGCATGTTTTTTAGAAAATGTCAAGATAAATGTTTAAGGCAGATTAAGGCATACTATGACATTTAAAATGGTAATCTTTGAAAACATCTAATAGGAAATGAATATGTAGCAACTATGTAGTATTACTCAAACATGTATACCTTTCAGACTGCTTAAAAATGAAAAGTTCTTACCATTGCATTCTCTGTGATTTCTATTGTTCTAGATTGCTGTATTCTGTTCTTCCACCATCTGTAGCCAATGAGTTGAGGCACAAACGTCCAGTTCCAGCAAAGCGCTATGACAATGTGACCATACTCTTCAGTGGCATTGTTGGGTTTAATACCTTTTGCAGCAAACATGCTTCAGCTGAGGGAGCTATTAAGATAGTCAACCTGCTAAATGACCTGTACACAAGGTTTGACATTCTGACAGATTCACGAAAGAACCCATATGTTTACAAGGTAAGAAAAAGCCACTTTTATCACACGCTTAACTTAATTTATCCTAGACAGTTAAATGGGAAATTAACTTTCTGAGTAGAAGCAGTAGAATTAAAAAATACTGTATGTAATTAATTTAACTTTCTTTTCATTTTTGCATGTTCAATAAGCTATTTATAGTGTAGAATTGTCAAAAAATGTTCTGTTTTTATGAACCCTAAAATGAACATTAGGTTAAAATTATGAAGAAATAAATACTGGAGATAACTCCAAGGTTGAAAAGCATTGATTATGTGCTTTTACACCTTTTAAACCTGACTAAAACTCTTTAAAAAAATTCTAGCAAATCAAGCATTCACATTTCACAATGAATAATCCATTCCTGTTTGTTAACTCCTAAACGTTTGTTCATGAGCAATTATCATCAGAAGACTACCATATGATACTTTAAAAGGCAGCTGGGGTTATGTGATGATAAAATTAGTCAAGCATCAGAATTTGCAATGCAATCAAATCCTTCCAGCTGGCTCATTGCTGCCTGAATTTATTCCATTAATTTATTCTCACAGCTGGATAACTGTGGGTTTACAGGATAAGGAACAGTAAAGGTTCTAACTGGATCAATTAATCAAACAAGTCCAGTAAGTATTTCATCTTGGAAGTCAAGCAACCATCTTAGTTTATGCTGGAACCCAATTTTTACATCTTTTCATCCTGCTTGTACTAGAATTTTGTATTTGTAAGTTGACTAGCCAAACGTTTTTTCATCGGGAGAAGTTTTTGCAATGGGCCAGGTTTTCGCAAAATGGTTCATGAGACATTGTGAGTGTAAAAATTATCAAAGCAACTTTTCAGGAGCCATCTTCAAAATGATTAGAATTTAGTTTTATTTCAGTCGGTACAGCAGTTCTTCAAAAAGAAGATTTTTTCAAAGGTTTTAGAATATGCATGTCACACCGTCATTTTTAAAACAAATTGAATCTGCTCTCAATATATGTGATTAGTATGAGACTACCTAGTCTTTGAAATTACCAGTCTTTTTGTTACAGAACTAGTAAGGAAAATGATCCTTACAGTTCCAGTATAATAGGCTTCCACACCTTGAAAACCAAAATCCTTCCACTAACTCTAGACTTCTACTACATGGAAGACTAATTACTAGATTATACCAAGTTAAAGCCCAATCCTTTATATTTGAAAAATGTGTAATTATACTTGACAAATATACTTATAGGATGGGTTGAGACAGTTTATGTACTGTCTGAATACATTTTATGTCTAAATGAAAAAGGTATAATGTTTTCCAGCAGGATTTTAAATGCCCCAAGGCTGAACACCCCAGATGAATGTTTTTAACTCATACAAAGGCAGGTTCTTTTGTCTGACAGCCTTGGAAATCAGGATGTGTTCAAACTCAGCATTCTGAGTGTGTCAGCAGTATTGGTTAAAAGGGCTACAGAAATTTGTTTCTAACCTTAAAATAAACAAAAGGAGAAAGATATACAGATATATAGATATACAGACATTTTTGGGGGGGGGATTTCTTAATCAATCCCCATCTTGTAAAATTGATCTATAAACCTTAATAGCTTTTAGCACTCCGCTAGATGGCAGTTTAATACCACTTTACTCAGGAATGCAGAATTCCTAAAACACCTTAATGCCGAACTTTAAGAATATCAGTTTAATTCTAATTTGGGTGCTGACAATATTTAAAACAATGAAATGTTTTCTGCTTTTCCCTCTTGGGAAAAGTTGGGGGAAAAAAAGAATTATGGTGCAGCATGAATGAAAATACCCATAAATTAATGTATTGTAGTTATGTATATTACTAATGATGAATAAGCAAATGTCTTTGTTGTAAAGCAAATTCCTATTGAAGGGCACTGTATAAATATATTGCTTCCAAAAGAATACTCATAGTAATTGAATAAATTGAATTTCTTTGCAGTAGTTTTGTTTATTACCAGAATTTTAAAGTTGCAAGCTAAATAAAAAAATTGTATTCCATTGACAGGTGGAAACTGTTGGGGACAAATACATGACTGTTAGTGGTCTCCCAGAGCCCTGCACTCACCATGCTCAATCTATCTGCCACTTGTCTTTGGATATGATGGAAATTGCTGGACAAGTCAAAGTTGATGGAGAACCAGTACAGGTATACAAATGAGTCCCTTGTAGATACTAGCATAATTCAGAAAGTTCTGTGCCAAAAAGTACTTAAACCAATTATGATCAAATTATTGTTGAACATAGTCACTCTTGAGCAGTGTAATTATTACTATTCCTGAAGCTTTCCCTTCCAGGAATAACTTCCAAACAGCCTATTCAGGTACTCTACATGGCTATCCATCATCCTCCAAACAGTCTTGACACAAATATTTTTTTTCAGTTTCAGAAAAATGGTGAAAGTAATTTTATACTATATTTGGAAGAATGATGTGGAAAGTAAACATAAAAGATTCTTTGAGAGTGTTAGCAAGACTTCCATTGTGGCACAGTTCTTTGCATGGTATTTTCCATTTGATGGAGAACATGGAACAGATTATTTTTTATTATAGAGAATCCAAAGTACCTGGTCTCCCTCCTGGTATGTTTTCACACATACTTTTCTCTTGTAGCTTGTCGAGATAGGGTCTGGCTCCTCTGCAACTCTGTATTGGATAAAGCATTTAGAAAATGGATGGATGGATGATTCCTACAGATTTTCGATTTTCTTTTTAAGTGAGGGCATTAATGTTCTTGAGCGGCCCAGTTCATCTTCTTCATGTTAAGCTGCAGTGTAGCTTTGGACTTGTGCATTGGGTCTTTGTCCTGTTGAAATGTGAAATATGAATTTTCATCCCAGTTTTAAGTCTTTAACAGGTTTTCCTCAAAGAAATGTCTTACTTTTTCATCCCCATTCTCATTATTTACAACCTTCCCAGTTCCTGCTGATGAGAAGCTCAGCCATGCTTCACAGTTGCTACCACCATGTTTCACAGTAGGGATGATACTGATTGTATTCTGCATTATGTTGGGTTTGCTTCAGATGTAATGCTTTGTATTTAGACCAGAAAGTTCAAATTTTGTCCCATATGACTGCATGTTGACAGTATTACTTAGGTGCTGTGTTACAAACTGCATGTGGGATTTGAGATGGGTGTGCTGTTCTGCCAGCTTTGTGAAGCAACCAGGTTATTGACAAACTTTTTCTCCCATCTAAGGCTCTCTGTGTAACTCTTTCAAAGTCACTGTTGGCCTCATGATAGCAGCCCTGACAAGTTTCCTTCTTACTGTTGCTCAGTCTGATCTAGACAGCTTCTGGGTGACATGTTTAACTTCTTGATTATCAATTTCACCATGCTCAAAGAAATGTTAAGTGACTTTGAATTTGTTATACCCTTCTCCTGAAATATGCTATTCTACAACTGAGAAGTACACCATAGAAAGAAAGATGTGTTCATTCTCATGTGAATTCATGTGATCCACTGTTATTGTACTGTTATTGAGTTCTTTAATTATTGTTAAAGTAATTTTGTGGACCTGAACTAATTGGTTTGCCATAGCAAAGAGGGTGAATATTTGTGCATTATTATGTCAGTGACCTAAGACATTTTAATAAGCCCTCTGATTGCAATCAACATTTTAGAAAACATTTTGTGGATAAACATTCTGTTCATCCTAGTGTTAATCCCGCATCGGCAGGGTCCGCTTGTTGGCACACCTGTCTCCATTTGGCGTGGTCATAAATGTCTTCTGGGGCGACGTTCACTTTCGGCATGTCTTCAGTGATCCGATCCATCCACCGCTTCTTGGGCCAACCTCGCGGGCTCAGTCGCATCGCTGTCCGTGACACCGTGTCCTCGCTACTTCTCATCACGTGTCCATACCATAACAGTCTTCCTTCTCGCGTCTTCCCCATTATTGGTGCCACTCCCATGCGTCGACGGACATCGTCATTGAGGACATGGTCAAATCTTGTTAGGCAGAGACACTACCGGATCATCCTCATTTCCATGACATGGAGGGCCTGCTCATGCCTGGAAGTTGCTGGCCAGCATTCCGATCCATACAGGGCGACAGGACGGACAACGGTCTTGTAAACTTTAGCCTTGAGTCGGATTGGCATCCAGTGATCGCATAGAACGGCGGTTACCTGGTGCCACTTCATCCACGCCGTGTTCACTCGGGCCCTGGTGTCTGGGAGGGTGTCGCTGTCACTGCTGATGATGGAGCTGAGGTATTTAAACTGCGCCACTTTCTTGACATCTTCACCGCTGATGCTGATAGTTCCGTCTGTTTAAGGGCCACATTCCATGTACTCGGTCTTCTTTGTGTTCAGCCGCATTCCATGCTCATCCAGTCGGATCTTCCATCTCTGCATTTGGTGTTGGAGCTCTTGGTGTTCTTCATCCGCCAAGAAGACCTTGTCGGCTTAGAGCAACAACCACGGGTGAGGTGCCTGGAGGTCAGTCGTTGCCGTGTCCATGCAGAGCACAAAGAGCAGGGGCGAAAGGGCTGATCCTTGGTGAACGCCGATGTTGATGGCGAAAGGCGGTGAAGTGCCCACCGGGCCTCGGATGACACTGGAGACGTTACGATAAAGCAGCTGGACCCATTGGACGTAGGCATCGGGGACGTTGTGTAATCGCAAGGTGTGCCAAATGAGCTCATGTGGGATCCAATCGAATGCTTTCTCCAAATCCAGGAACGCCATTTGGATGGACTTGTTCTACTCCCGGTGCTTCTCCAAGAGCAACCGGGCAGCGTAGATGGCGTCTGTCGTCCCACACCCATTGACAAAGCCACATTGGTTCAATGTGACACTGACCGTCTTGCGGAGTCTGGCGTCGAGGGCCAGCTCAAAGATCTTCATCGCATGGCACAGAAGGCGAATTGGTCGGTAATTTGAGCACTCCGTGATGTCACCTTTGCCCTTCCAGGTGGGCACCGTGGTGCTGGTTGCCCAAATCGGTAGGACTGCGCCTTCGCTTGAAGAGGCTCACGAGAATGTTGGCTCCTCGACAACCAAGGATCTTCCACATTTCGGCTGGGATATCGTCGGGTCCAGTCGCCTTGCCATTCCTCATCTTCTTGATGGCAGCTTCAATTTCCACTGTAGTGATAAGCAGGACAGGTCCAAGGATGGGGTCAGCACTTTGAATTGGTGGGTGGGGAAATTCATCATTTCAGATCCTCGAGAAGTAGTCGCTCCAACGCCGAAGGATGGCGGGCGGGTCTCGCAGATAAACATTCTAACAAAAGTAGATAAACATTCTAACAACACATTCTCAAAACTCAGTGGCAGTTTACAATTTGACTTAAAAAGGTAAAAGTGTTAGTTTAATGCTGTGGAACAGATGTAAACTGCTGGGCTTAATGAGCTTTCAACTGTTACATGCCTTAATGGTTTCTTTAAAGCAGTGGCAAATACAGATTATCTGTTTTACTTTAACTTTGATATAAAGTAAAACATTCCTAGTGCCAAATGACCTACTATTTAAATGACTTTGTATTTGTTGCTTTTGTTAATGCATGTGTACTTGTGCTCTTCTTTGTAATGTACAGAATACCCTACACCTATCAAAATAAATTAATCTCTTTAGTCCTGGAGAACAGAATATGGGAGTCTTGAAGAATTATTAGGAGTTCCCCAGAGGGAGCAGACACTGTGTTGCTTCCTGCAGAACACTAAACAAGTCCAGGAAATATAAATACATTAGCAAAACAGAGTACTCTGGAAATCAGTGCAGAGTTCATATAAGCCTCAGATGAGCAATGGACCCTGCTAAATACATGACAGGGGATTTGTCCAAAATAATAGATTGTCAGTGTTTATTTTTAGTTGATTTATTCATACTTGTGTCTTGAAATAATGAGAGTCACTTCTGCTTTTGAACTGATTACTTTTTAACATTGATTACATTTCAGTCTGAATAATAAAAAAAAAACATTTTTCTAAAATGGCTAACCTCTTGTTTTATTGTTTTATCAATTATTTGCAAGGTATGTTAAAATCTATTCAGTGATTAATGTCCCTGGCTTACTTCCATGGGAGGTTAATATGCAATAAAATGAATGTGATTTTAGTTGTGTAGAATAAATATAATATTCTATACAAATAATTTAACAATAGTGTTCAGATTCTTAATTTTCTTTGCAATGATAGGTCTCTGACAGAACTGTTAAAACTTGCATAAAGGTGTTTATTCTGTTGGTGTATCAAGAAACTAATGCTGTTGTGAATGACAGTTTTGTGACTGTCCTACATAAACAGTAAAATAGTTTATGTAAGAATAACATGATGGAGATCAAAATGAATTTGAAAAGACTTAAGTAAAATTGAAGCCTACGTCTGTGACTGTTTTTCTCACATTTGTTTTTGTTGGAAGATGCCTCATATATACTATTATTGTTCCAGATAACTATTGGCATACACACTGGAGAGGTTGTTACTGGTGTAATAGGGCAGAGAATGCCCCGTTACTGTCTTTTTGGAAATACAGTAAATCTCACAAGCCGAACAGAAACCACTGGAGAAAAGGGGAAGATAAATGTTTCAGAATATACTTACAGGTAAGGAAAAGTACCATCTTATTTGAATCATGTGAAATAATCAGTTGAAAGGGCTGGTTAAGGTTGGGATCTGACATATAATGCTATCAAAGCCTCGCTAGCTCCACTACATAGTTCAGTTTAATAGGATTTCAGGTTTCAGGGATGTGATAGCAGATCATGGGATTTTTTTTATATTACTTTATCATTACTTATCTCTATATCATAAAATAAATGAAAGCTTGTTTATAAAAAAGAAACATCCAATAAATCACTGCTGTCAAAGATCTTGGGTGCTAGGTTAGTTCTGGATTAGGGTGCAGTCTGTGTGGTGTTTGCATGCTCTTGAGTTGCATTAATTTTCTTTATGAACCCTGGTTTTTCCAGGCTCTTAAATAAAAGGTCTCTTGGGTAGTATGTGTCTCTAATTTGAGCATGTGTGTGCCAGGTTCTTCTGGGTTAGGGTCTGGTTGCCATTTCCCTTATCAGTGTAAGCAGCTTTCTGATAATTGATGGACAGAGATACCGTGCATGACACATTATTACTTCTACTGTATATTGTGCATCTAAATTATACCACTTATCTAACACAGTGATCATTGAAATTCATATGGAAAGATTAATATACTCTATATTCTTTTCAGATATACATACAATGATATGGAAACTCTGAATGTATGTTATGTTGTTACCATAACTGAAACTTTTAGTGCAGGTCACAGTTGTAGACTATTACAAATGTAGATGGTGAGACATCAACAAATCTTGAAGGAAAATAAAAGTTTTAAAAAATTCCATAATAATTTTTGGTTAAATGTCATAGATATGAATAATCAATGTAAGCTTTTTAAATCACCTCTCAAATCAAAATAATAGGCCAGTAGGAAAATGTCCTATAAAAAACACTACAGTCTAGCATGAGTCTGCTTGCATTCCAAAATAATCTAATAATAAATATAATAAAATAAGCTGTGTCCTCTAGGTTTTAATAAAATCTAACCAACCATTTTATTCCAGGTGTCTCTTGTCAGCTGAAAATGCAGACCCCCAGTTTCAGTTGGAATACCGTGGACCTGTAGCTATGAAGGGCAAGAAGGAACCAATGAAAGTGTGGTTTTTATCCAGAAAATGTGCAGAAACTGACTAATCAAGAGGAAACTGTCATTCATACTGAATGCTGGGACAACAGCATCTCCTTTTATAATGCAATTTCCATTACATTGTTAACATAACCAATACATGTTTTTGGCTTTAGCCAGTATTTTGAGTAGAGAAGGTAAATTATTTAAGATTCAAATCACATTTTGCCAAATCAAAGGGATTGAAAACCACCTAAGCATTTCTCTTTTGCACCATTATGTTATTACATTATTTGCACATTTTTGTTTCTCCTGTGTAGTTTTGAAGCAAGTGTTTGATCTTCCTTTTGAAGTTTTTTTTTAATTTCTATTTATATATGAGATGTATTCAGCTGTGCTTTTAAGGTTTGACCTTTTGATAAGGAAAACATGCATGTTTTATATAATAATGCACAGCCATTTATACCTCCTGACTGTACTACTAATCCGTTCCGCAAGTCAGTGACTTTGATAACTATTATAACAAAGTTATAGATTTTATATTTTCACATTTCATTGTTAGTATATGTATAACCTGTAAGTTTTTTGTTCACTGAAAAGTACACTTACAAATTGAAATTCACACAGGAAGATATTGTACCAGAAATTAGTTTCAAGGTACTGTATTTATGGATTTCAATATACTGTACATGCACATTTTAAGAATGTTCTTAATGCAGCCAACTGTAAAGTGCAGTTGTGTATGTGATGTTCCATTTTAGACAGTGATGTATACCCCAGAAAGTCAAATGTATGTGTGCCAAATGCCTCACTGTGGAAAATGATGGATATATTTCTTCTGCAAGTGATTGCTGTTATTCATTTGGTCTTTAACTGTCGGCCTGTTGTTCATTGTGTGCTGCTAAAATGCTCCTTACATTTAATCTGTGTAATAGTATATGTCATGACTGTAAATTTAACATGACTGACTGTTTGCAGTATTAACCTTACAAAGATGTTATTTAAAATTAATTTCACTAATACTTTTGTACATTTAAAAGAAGAGACAAATGATCTAAAAAATAAAGAATGTTTGTGCTTATTAAAACTAAGTATAAAGCAGAATATGTGATTATTCTTGTCAGAAAAATAGATAGCCATCCTTTACCTATTTTTTAAATATGAAATGTTTTTAAGCAAGCAAAATAGATTCTGTACTGCAACATTGTCCAGAATCCTCATTCTTAGAAGTGAAATGTATTTCAGACTGCTTTTTAAAAGAAGCATCTGCTTATAATTAAATCACATTGGATGTCATAAACGTTACTGCTATTCAGCTTTTAAAGAAAATTATGCATCATTAATGTGGTCTTTATGTGGAGATTCAGTTCCTCAGTGTGATTCCTATTGAAGTTATCCTATTATTGAGGTAGAAGGAAAAGTACATCAGTGGGAACAAAAAACGTGATGTGGAAAATAATTGAAAATATTCTTCTTATTGTATTTTGTTAAAGATTAGATTAGAGGTAAAGGTAAAAACTACTAAAATTCTTAGGTATTTACTCATCTTTAAACATCTTTTAGGCAATGTGGGGAAGCAATGAAAATTAGAATACATAGTAAAAAGAATAGAATTTAAATTGTTTGAATTATGCAGTGCACTAGTAAGATCTCATTTGGAGTACAGTGTAGAGTTTTAGTCACCACATGAAAATATATTGCTGCTGCTGTACTGTTCTAGAGTAGGGCAACCAGACACATTGCAGACATAAAGAACTGAAGTCCCAAACAAAAAAAGACCTGATCCAAGTATTCAAAGTTCTCAAAGGCATTGTCATTCCCTCAAGATTCTAACAATGTGAAGTAACACTTTGAATTATATTCTCAGATCTACAGGAATCTGGTACAAGGAAATTAGCATACATTCATGTTCATGCATTTTAAGTTTGGTTATGATTTGAGCACCTCAATGCTCTGAAGAGCATTCTGCTCCTTAAAAACATGTTTAGTTACAACATAAAGTAATGCATTACAATAAGCCATGAAAACACTAAAGCATGCATTAGCTTTTTTGCATCAGATAGGTAAACAAGTGAATGGATACAAACCCTGTTAGAAATATTAAAAAAGAACAGAATGATGACACCTGCACAACAGGAGTTTCAAATACAGTCTGAATCAAACAATGACAGGTTCCTGACCGAAGTACTTAGGCTGTTTTTCAATAGTCAAACTAAAGCAGACATATTAGAGTAGTTAATAAGGACAGTTAAATAGATAAAAAAGATAGCATTGCCAAGAGTTCAGATCTGAAATGTTTGTTGTATCTATTTTTAACAATCTGAAGCAGAGTGAAAAGATTAAGGCTTCGTGTGGAAATACATTTTAGTGTCATCAGCATAGAATTGGTAGCTGATACCATTAATATGAAGAATCTCAATGAGATGCAAAGGGTTTCTGTAAAAAAAAGAAATTAAGGCAAATAACTTGTTTTTATAAAAAAAAGTTGTTTTAATGAAACATGGGAACTACAGTATGTTATGATCTGAAGACAATGGTCATCTAACTCCATTAAGACCGCCACGTGAGAAAACTATATACAGGTATAACTATAAAATGTCCAAGGTGACCTTGCATAAACTAGGGAAAATTAATAAAATAAACAAAGTATTCCATGTTACAGTTGGAGGAAAAAGTAAAGCGTCATACCACCAATACAATTGTGTGAAGTTGACAGAAGTGAGTCCTATAGTCCCTAAATGGTTAGATGAGTCACTTAAAGTATTTGGAATGTCTATGAAGAAATGCTTCCATGAAGCATCAGTCACTGGGTGAACGCTGTGTGAAGATAAGAAGGAAGGAAAGGAGTATTCAGCTCAGAGAGCTTGGAGAGGTCATTTTGTGTGGAAATTGTATTCATTTTGTGCTCTGGGTTTGATTTTGGCTTGGAAGCAGCATGTTCTCCCCACGTTTTCATAGGTTTTCTCCTGATGCTCTGGTTTCCTCCCACATTCCACACATATGGTGGCTAGTATCGAATCTGACTTCTACCTTATCCCTGTGTCTGTCCTTTAATGGACTGCTGTCTTACGCTTGGTTTTGTCCTGCCTTGCACCCTATGGTTCCAGCAAAACCCTCATTCCCACAAATATTACCATTAATCACAAATTTCAGATAATACTGTACATGGATGGACATTTAAATAATGGTTAATTTAACTCCCTTGGAATATGTGGATACCTCTGTACAATAGCTTTCTTTTCTGTCAAGTTATGTTATCATTCTAATTTTACAGATTCTTGAGCCTTCTATTCAGCACAGTCTTTGCCTGTGGCAGTTTTGCATCCTTCTTGTTAATATTCCAGTTATTTACTTTACTTTTCACACTATCTTCTAGTGCAGCAGCACACATTACATTAAGGGCACACACTCACTGTTACCTTTTAATAGATCCCCTATGCACACATAGATATGTTTTCATTTCTTCCTGACTGATTGCATGTGAACATCCATTCAGTGATTGTGTGTTTAATATTATAGAATATAATGTACTATCAATTTAGTATTATAATTGCAGATATTTGTGACATGTGCAAACATGAATTAAAATGTACGCTGAAGAACAACCTGTAACCATGACAATTATGCAGCAAAAAAGTGGATATGAACATGAAAGTCATGTACTATATGATACAGCATTTTTATATATCAGCTAGTATGAATTTAATTCTGGTATCTAAAAGTAAATACTGCGTAGCTCTGCATAGGTATGCAGTTTTAAACAGAATCAGAAGAGTCTTTTTGTCTTAAGGTGCAGAAGACATCATGTGATGAACTGAAATCATATTCAATAACTAAATCTCACACTCCCTGAATAGTTGCTAATTTAGGGAACCTTTATGTCTACATGAACAGACTACAAAAGCAGAAGTTAATACAGTGAATCAAATGCAGATTTAGGTGTTGCAAATTTGTCCTGTTATACCAACTCAAATGTAATTGTTGCCAGCCACAGATTGTTACAAAGTTACAGTAATGTTTTGCTTATACAAAGCATTTTAGTCCCGATTGTATCTTAAGTTTCAGTTAAATTCAGTTAAATTTGATGTACTCCTTTATTAATACTTGTATTCTTTTGAAAAAATCCAAAGAACCTTAGATACCTTTTCTCCACATGAATCCTGCTGAACAAACACACAAATAAATGTAAAGAAACCTTAGCTCACACCTCCACCACTGCTACACATTAACAATATGGGCTGTGAATTCATGTAAATTTGTACATTAAGTGTATTACATAAGGTCTTAATGGTTGACAGCTTGAAAATGTTAATGAAATACATATAATGGAATTTTAGCAAGTGCTTGGGGCCTGGCCTAGTTGAGAGGAATGATAAGGGTGACTTGGAATATATCATTTGAATTTCTCATCTAAAAAAATGGTACAGTAGCTTTGAGTGAAGTGATTCTGAGTCTAGCATTTTATCTCTTTGTTATTCACACAAATCCATTTCAGAGGATGACTCACAAGCTATCAAGAGCTATTTTCCTAATTTTTTACTTTGTAAATTACTGTAAATTATTACAAGGGAGGATTTTTAACTTCTATTATTATTGAAGCACAATGTTGAAAAGTACCATTTAGAAAAATAATACAATGTTTATATTTTTATATTCTCAATTATGCATCAATCGCCTATATTGGTCTTATTCTTTTCATTGTTACATTGCTCAAAATATAGTTCAAAATATAATTTCAATTGACTAGGACCAAAAATATGATGAACATTTCTCACATACATTAGAGCATTTTGTTACAAAGTGATTTAAGACACAGTGCACTTCAGAGCACCAATTTATTCAGTGTACCATAACATTTTTTTTCAGGAATGAATTAAGAATGAAGTGTTGGTACCAGAGGAATTGTTAGACCTTTAACATTATCAGAGAATATCCAAAAGGAACAATGCCCACTGGATATAAAGAGGTATGACCAGACATTCAGACAAGTTTTCCCTCTTGTGTGTTACACATTTTATTGAAGATTTGCTGATTGTGTTTTTTTTAATGTCAGGAATCAAGCAGTAGAAATATTATGATTATTAAATATGAATAATCAATCCATCTATCTATCCAGAGTTTGGGGGGGGGGGGGAGGAGCCTATTCCAGAAAGCTAAGGGCACAAGGCAGGTTATACCCTAGATGGGACACCAGTTCATCACAGTGCAAACACAGCCAATTTTCCCAGGAGCCAATTAAGTTGCTATTAAGTCTATGGACTTTGGGAGGAAACCAGAAAATCCGTAGGAGACCCATGCGAACGGAGGAAGAATATAATAAAGCCATGCACCACAGGAATCGAACCCATTGCAAGGCAGCAATTCTAACCTCTGTGTTATGCAGAACAAGTAAATAATCATCTACAGTAAATATAAAGATATTTACACTGCTCCTTTTGGACAAGGAAAGTAACATATAAAGCTACGTTAAAGTTAATGTAAATATAGAAACATTTAATGAAATGTTTGATGTTGCAGCCCCATCTAATGTTCAATATTTAGCATTGCATCAGTTAATGGAAGATGGGTGTTCTTGAATTACAGTACCAACAAGTGCAACATCAGTTTCAGTTAGAAGTTCAGTTCTCCTACCTACACCATTGGCTCAAAAAAAGCACACATTGTCAGTTCTAAATGTGTAATTGTATAGTTTCTTCTATGTTTCTGAAGGAACTGTGCCATTTAATTTGATTTCCATGCTTTTAGTTTTGTGTTATGTGAAGAAACATACATCAGGACTTAATGTGTAAAAATGGCTTGGAATTAACATGACATTTTGTTTCTTTAAAATCAATGTACCACTGAATGTACTTTATGAAGCTCACTCAATGGTACAGCAGTACTTTGAGCATTGAAGTGTTCTGTACAATGCTGTGTTTGATTATGTAATTACTGTATATGATCACTTTTAATACACTTAATATATTTTTCAATACATCCTTGAAAAATCACCTTACATCCCACACCTAATTATATATGAAATTCGAGGAATATCAATTTAGCATTTGAAAGCCATTTTGTCATACAAATGCTTGTTGAGTGAATTTAAATGAGATATCGAAGGGGAAATAATTCAAATAAAATCTGCAAGGGGAATACATAAGAATTGGAGTCAAAAAGAGAATGCCAAAGGAAAAAATAAACACATAATTCATTACATGACTAATGAATTATGTGTTTATATCTAAAAGCTATGAGTATTGGGAACACAATACAAAAAATACAAACTGCTAGACTGGCATGTAATTATGATATAATTGAAATCCCAGAAACATGGATAACAGAGATTAATGTGATCAGGGTGAATGCAACATTTCTACATACACAGCATTCCAGAGAAATAAGAATAGAAAAGGGGAGATGTAACCCTACCTTACATATTAAAAAAAACTTTCAGGGATGTAGATAAATTATATGTCTCGGAATCGATCAAATGTATGTGACAAACATTTACGAAGTTCTATTCTAAGACAATTCAGATACCAATAAAATAGATTTGGAAAAACAATTAGGGACATTGGTGACCAAAACTGAATGATGGATGTGGCTAATAACTCCTTTCTTACTCAAATAGCCTACTACCTGATCTGAAACTCTTACTGATGTGATGTATTGGTGGACTACCAAGGGGATCTGTATAAGTATATTAGAACAGCTGCTTTTCTTAATTTATATCAATGATCTTGTTTCTAATATTAATAGTATAGTTGCATACTAACTAATGGAATAGTCGGTAAACAAGTCATTTTTGCAGATGATACCAAAAAAGGGGAGAGTAGAAAAGACTTCAGTCGCTGTAAAGAAAATTAATAAAGAACTCAAGACTTGAACAAAACCTGACATCACATCACATTTAATGTCGATGCAGGTAACAAAAACATAAACTATAATTAAACAATAGGAAACGCTGAGCTTTGACCCAGTATTTACAGTACATCTTTCAGGAATTGTGGGGCAACAATACTGTACAGTAAATAAATATTAGGGCATATCCTACACATAAAAGTGTAGAATTTAAATCTAAAGGATGTAATGTTAAAATTGTACAATGCACTTCTAAATACAACCTATTTAGAATAGTTTAGTCATCACTTAAAAAAAGGCATTTTGAAATAAGTCCAGAGAAGACAACCCAGGCGTTCCTTACAATCCGAAGGTGATAGAAATGGCCCACAGTGAGAGGCTAAAAAAACTAAATCTTTTTAGTTGTGTGTAGAGAAGATTATGGGGAGATCCGATCTAAGTATTCAAAATCCTCAGTCCAAAGACCTTGAGGATAGTAGAACAAGTCATGTCACTGAAGCTGGTACCATAGCTGTTTTAAAGAAAGAGGTGGATTAGATCTTCTCCTCATGCTTTTATGTTTCTAACATATTTCTACATTTTCTTCTTGAAAGATGATGTTTTTAAAAAAAATAAAAAGTAATTGTTTTATAATGTTTAAATCCTTAATGAACTATAATAGTATAGTAGTATAGTATAATAATAATAGTTTTATCACTGGACTCCATTTCCCATATAATAGCCCATCATCTAGTCACAATTTGCCCTTTTGTAAATTAAACTACTAATTCCCTTATGATCACACTATTTGTTTTTTACTTTTTCTAACGACACAGACATGAGATGTGAAGCCAATACTAGACACTATGGCCTGTGTTAGGGTTGTGGAGTGTATGAATAATTCAATATCATATACACTGGTGAATTGTGAATGGTGTTGCACTGCCCTTGTTAAATGGCACAATACTGTAGGGCAAAGAACAGAAAAAGAGAGCAGGCAGACTCACCTGTCTTGTTTGCCTTCAAGACCCTTTTGGTTTAACACATCACAGAGCACTGCAGCCACATACTGGAGGTTCAGTAGCAATTGGAGGAGAAGCACATTCCTCACTAACAGCACCACACACCTGTAAGTGTCTGGAAGCTGCAGGCACTGTTACTAGAACAAAAGAGCCCTGGTCGATTGAACCCACCCCACACTTGGCTAACCAATTGTTTGCAAGCATCTGAGGTCACAGTTGGCTGGTGACGCGAACCAGGCTGGAATCTATGATATCTGGATCATAGCGCTCATCTTGTCCTCAGCCAAGCATCTATTCCAGTTGAGCCACTTGTGAGCCCCTTTAACTGTAGTTTTCTGTGGCATATGACCTGTGTTGAGATCCCAGCAGTGAATCATCGCCACTAAGCAGATATGAGATGTAGACACAACTGGATTGCTCTTAAAGACTTCCTACAGCTTTTTATTGGACTTCATTCTCTGTAGGTAATCTTACCAACTGAGATTATACAGTAGGCCACCCACCTGGTACAGGTAGGACATTTTGCCATACCAAGATATTCATAGGAGTTGTAGGAATATGGAACAACCAGTAATTTTGCCTCATTCAAGAAACAACTGGAAAAAATCCTATCCAGAAAAGTCCAGAAAAGTGCTAGATAAGTATTATTTTTATAATAGTGCTCATTGTACCCAGGAAAATAATCTTGGACTATTGGTGAACCTTACTTTGTTTCTATTGCTGATTCTTTGTTTTGGAATGTCCGTTGTCTGATTCTTCGAGAGATATATTATTTAACTCTCAACTTAAAATTCACTTTTTGCTACAGCCTATGTATACAGTTCATCCTGAGTTTTTTTTTTTACTTTTTATTGTATATTTTCTATTTTTCTTCTTTATCGCTATGTACAGCATTCTTGGGTTTGAAAATGTGCTTTATAAAACACTTTTCCATAATAATATATAATCATATCTTATTATTATATTATAAAATAAAGAAAGAAAATACTTCTGAAAGAAAATACTCTTCATACTAATTAGTAGTGTAACACTTAATCATATCACAGATCACTAAGACTGCTCCATGAAACTTGGACCTTAAAAGTCTTTCCCACATCCTTTTATAAAGTGAAGAAACCAACAATTAACCCCATTTGAAAATGAACTGTTTCAAAATTTAGAATTGCCATGAATCTTGAGGTTAGAAATATGGGTGCCTCCTGGAGCATACTTGTGATACACATTTTAGCAGTTGATATTTGCCAGTCACAAAAAAATACAAATTTTAGTCTCTTTTTGGAAAAACAATGATTAAAGGTTAATTGTAGGAGTAATTCAATTTCCTTCTGGTAGTTTCTCTCACTCAGACTATATGTGTTCTGTGTGTACACTCATGACTTCTTTTCTAGACTTCCATAGAAAGGTCAAGGCTGAATATGTTTTTAACTTTTTCTAAACTTTTCTGAGAAAACAAATCGTCATGTGCTTCAGTTTACTCTAGTCCATCTACTGTTTCAGTTCATTTGCAGTTTTGTTTTGTAACTTATTAACAAAATTTCAAATATTGAAAGCCATGTAGCCTGTTACCCAGTATGGTTTTAGTCACTAACTTAAAAAGCTGAATAAGTTCGAAACATGTTTGTCGGCAAGCATCACTGTAGCGTAGCCAACGAGACACGTAGTATTTGTCAACTGAGTTGCTAAATATTAGCTCTAACAGATTTCAATTCCTTAGCTATAAGAAATATTGTGACTCATTATAATGCATGCACAAAAATACATTACTTGCCTTACAGATCTTCCTGACCTAACTAAGTTCTGCCTCTTCTAATTAAAATACGTCCTTTTAAAAAGTCAACTTTGGAACCTATGATAAACTAACAAACATTGATGACTAGAAAACTGTTAATATCTTGATAATAAGTATTTAAAAAACAAATGGGAAGCCTGGAAATATTGAAGGAGGATTCCCATAGTACTGTACATCACACCCTTTTTCTAGATCTAGTAGATCTTGATAGTTTATACCAGTTCTCGAAAACATAGTATTAATTTTGACACCTTAGAGGGCATATATGGTCACTGAGCTACCGAAAGCAGTCTAACAGTGTTAGGCTGTGTACAGGTATCATTATTTTTTTTAGATGTGCAAAATGCAGGTGATTTCTCGTATCTTTTATTCAGACAGGAACCCCTGTGGGCTGTTTCTTCTCTTACTGCAGCTATAGCTCCTACATTTTGCAATTTGACTGCTGGTTTTGTTGCTGAAATCCAATGATGGTGTACTAAATTACCATTATTGCCAGAGCACAAAAGCTTAGAACTTTGGTCCTTGGTGTCCGGAATTCAACAGGTTTTGTTTGTCATCTTAACTGTTCACTTGTGTGAATCATAAATGAATTTAATTAAAGTTTAAATCAAATTATCTCTTCTAAATTGCTTTTTGTGTTGATGACATAAAATGACATTGAAAGCCTGCTGGATTTCAAACACACAGTTGGGAGCCCCTGTGCTACAGGGGCTTCATGTTGCAATATTCCTGCTGGCAACATTCCCAGTGCACAATTGATTTTTTTACTGACCAGTAGTCTTGTGGCAGTATATTAAAAATTGACAAGAATTTCATAAGTGCACATTACTTACCATGCATGTGCTGTCACATCTTTGTTCAATTCGTAAGCAAAAGGTAAGTGAAAAAAGGGAAGATGAACTTCAGTATGTTTACAAGGCATGTAAGAACCATTATCAGTGTTGCTAATTCAAATTAAAGAGGCTGAAAATATGTGTTGTATTTCTAAAATGTTTCAGTTTGTTTTGTAACATTGAGGTGCAACTATAACTGTCTGACTGCTGATACTCTATATGAGATGTGTATAATATGAGTCTTGGAATGCAATCTAGCAAGTCTCTTGGGTTTCTTTAGATCTCCAGCCCCTAATAAACAGTGGAAACAGTGTTATATATGTCACGTTAAGACAAAATTAGGTGCGTTCAAGGTTTAATAGCCTACAGTAGATGGAATTAATCCCTGCAGGAAGTGTAATCAACCAGGTCTGATCTGAAAAAAAAAATAATTAGAATGTTCACATTAAATCTAAGATTTATTTAAACTCTTTTGGAGGCAAGAGTTCATAGTACGTTCCACCAATGGTGAAACTCCTGTGTACTCGCCACATTTGTACACATCTCTTTTTAGCGCACCATGGTGGGCAGTGCGGTAGAATGCGTCTTTGATTGGATGTGGTGAACCTTTATATAATCTGTTCCCAGCAAATGCACAAGTTATCTAAGAAAAACGAATACACATAAGCGATAGAAAAAGCAAGTCATTATTGCAGAACGTCTTTTGAGGAAACATGAGCGGATGCCCATATTTTGGAAAAAAGTATCTGTATGTATTTTCTACATAGGAGTTTCATCAAATAGTTATTTTACTGAGTATTTTGATTAGTTCAGAAACTTGTCTTGCAAAACCGTGTTTCACAGGATACATTTACTTGATAGACAATACTTATATTGCTGTGGTTGAGTTTCCTGCAACCCTTACCAGGAAAAAGAGGTTGAAAATGCTTGGCTAGCAGCTGTCATTTAATAGATTTTATTTTCAGGGGCCACATACTAGAGCTTACAGTGTTTTCTGAGGTTATGTATTGATGTTTATTGTTTCAGTTTGTTTTTATTTGTATTTTCTTTAATTTGCAGATCTTTGCACAAGAAATTTGATCTAAATGAAACTGAAGACAAAGCTCAGGAAGGAGTTAACAAAGCCAGCAAAGGAGGTCTTATCTACGGGGATTATTTACAAGTAAATCATTTTTAATTTCAAACAAAGTTATAAAATAGTGCGACTTTCCTAACTTTAAATTGTGACTACAAGACAATACATGTTTAAAGAATATGCATTGAATGTTAATATCACATTTCAAAATGCTTTTACTTTACAACAGTACAAAGATGTAATGATTCTTTCATATAAAAATGCTTGAATAGAAAGGTTTTCTTATCAAACACACAAAAGGAAAAAAAATAATTTTCATCTGCTTTTGTTACTGTAATTTAAAATATTTAGTAGGTAATTAGTACACAAGATATTAAAAACCACTTAAGTTAATGAGAATACTTTGTAAAGCGTTAAGAAATTGCTCTTTGATTTTTAGCTGGAAAAAGTTGTAAATGCCCAAATTCTACAAAGTGAACTGAAGGGAAACAAGATACATGATGAACATCTCTTCATTGTTACTCACCAAGGTAATGAATTCATAAAATAGTTGTGCTTAGCAAAATCTGAATTAAAATGAGATTGCTGAAGCTGTATGTGAAATTTAATGTTATTTGAATTGTCTAAAACAGCTAAGTATGTATAGTATGTTGTTCTATATTGTAATTTTTCTTTAAAAATGTCTTTAAATATTTTTATATTATTATGATCAGTAGCTTTTTTTATAATTAGTGAGATCTGTTATCTTTGACTATTTTCAGCTTACGAATTATGGTTCAAGCAAATCCTGTGGGAGCTTGATTCAGTTCGGGAAATTTTCATTAATGACCACGTAAGTAATCTTCCTGCAGAATACAATAGCAGAATGTTTACCAACCAACAGCTTGAGGCTGACACATATAATTCTTGATTGCCATGTGGCCACCACTTAGAGTCAGCTGTCCTTTTTATTTGTCACTCTTAAGGAACATGATGTATATGGATTAGTTCCATTTGGGCCTTGGTAAAAATAACTAAAATAACATTTTACAGTTATTCACTGTTTAGACTTGTTCTTTAGACTATGCTTATGAAATATTTAATATGTATTAATTAATAATTATATTAATTACATACAGTAAAGATGAGGAGAAATGTTACTCAGTGCTCAGAAAAAATTAACTATATTAAAAAAATTAAACTATATTGGAAACAGTATTGTACATATCAGCCATATTGTCACCATTGGATTTTCTAGTTGATCTGTTTCATAAACACAAGAGCTGATGAGATATGTATTCCCTTATTTTACTAGTTGCAGACCTAGTATATCTGGGTCAGATTAAGATTTAAGATTAACAGTGAAAATGTTCTTTACCAGGTGTTTGTGTTATACCATTTAGGAACCTAATGCCACGATCGGGATCCCTCCTCTTCAGGGCGCTCCGACCCTTTTGTATTTAGTTGATTATGTGCACCTGCCCCCTGTTTAGTTAACCGCTATTTAAGCCTGGCGCTCTCGCTAGAAGGACATCCAGGGAGAAGGTACAGCAGGATTAGGACGGGTTGACAGACAGGAGGGCATGACAATGGTAATCCGGGGCTCGGGGGGTGTAGTGCTGGCAAACAAATTCAGACAGTCCAAGGGGAAAATCTGGGGAGCAGTCTAAAGTCCAAAACTGGGTGATCCATCCAAGACTAAACAAACAAAGTTAAAATCCGGAAGGGGATCCGGAACAGGGACAAGGAATAAAACCAAGGTAACAAGGCCAGGCGCTCCGAGTCCCGGGCTCAGGTGGTCAGGAAGCCGTGATAAAGCCTATGCCTTGGGGTATCTCCTGGACCTGCTGGTAGGCGGGCTTCTGGGCCTCCATCTCCTAATACTGAGTTAGGAACAGCAAGAGCGCCAGACTTAAATAAGGAGACAAACAGGGGGCCGGTGCACATAATCAACTAAAATATGAAAGGGTCGGAGCAGACTTAAGAGGAGGGATCCCGGTCATGACACCTAAGTGGGCTCAGAACCTAGTGAATAAGTTACTAATTAATTTACTTCAAACAGAAAAATGCTCATCTGGGACTTTACTCACTGGGAAGTATTTGTTTCAAACCTGTAATTAAGGAAATAACTGAATTTCTGGCATTTTCTCAGATGACATTCTTGGGTACCATTGCATTTTATAAATGTGTCACAAACTTTCTGCTGCAAATTGTAACTTGTATTTTCTCTACTTCTAGTGCTGTACATGTCTTTAAAAAACAACTAAGAACCCATTGTTTTAACAGGTTCGTGATGAGCGGAATATGCTTAAGGTTGTGACCAGAATCCAGAGAATTGCAATGATTTTTAAACTACTGGTGGATCAGTTTTCTGTTCTGGAGACCATGACACCCCTGGACTTTTTTGATTTTAGGTAAAATACAAATATAAGTATATATAAACATCCGGAATATAGTAACATTTTAAACACTTTATATGCTTATATACTGTAGGTTTACGTACATACTGTACTTCAGATTTCTCTAATATACATAGAAATAAAATATATGGTGTATGCTGAATTTCACTAAGGCTCTATCAAATTAATTTAATATATTCATGCAAACTTCACTTCTTTTGCTATTTGAAGGGATTACCTGTCCCCAGCTTCTGGATTCCAGAGTCTGCAGTTTCGCATGTTGGAGAACAAAATTGGAGTTCCAGACAGCCTGAGGGTTCCATATAATCGCCGTCATTACAGAGATAATTTCAAAGGACAGGAAAGCGAAATCTTGCTGAAATCCGAACAGGAGCCTACATTGCTTCAGCTGGTGGAGGTACACTGCTACAGACATCTCTTTGCACTTTTCTTCTCATGCACTTATTTAAGTTATTGCCATTATTCAAAATATGACAATACAATTTGGAATCCTTCAGGATGAAAAGTGCTATATTCATGCAAGGGCAATTTTTATAATAAGCTATTATTAATTTACTTGACACTTTTACCAAAATAATTGAAATTATAATGTGTAGCCATTTATATAGCTGGGTATTTTAGTGAATACCCAAACAAACAAATACTGCTCTTTGATGTTTATGGCAAAGTAGTGCTGCAACATATTTGTAAAAGAACCATAATGACTATGAACTGCAAAAAACATAGAATGGATATGAGAATACTTACAATATAGTTATATAATATATATATATATCATTTTATTGTATATAGTTATATGATATATAGTTATTAGTATTTTTGCATTGCTGTTGAAGGTATTTGTATGGGGAGGTTTTCCATTTATGAAATGCCGATAAACATGAAGCATGACAATACAATAAATATGGCACATTTAGTCCTTGAAAACTTGTTTAACATGTACAGTAAGTAGGGCATCTTAAACCTCACAAGGTGAATTATATTGACCTGACCAGCCTACATGAGTTGGAGAACAGTGAGATGAGTGCTGTTTGTACAAAAAGCACAGTTCTTTGTGAATCTAAGTCTTTGATTCCAGTTTGGAGTATCTTCTGTATGGAGTTGAGTGTTGTTTGTTTTCTCCAAGTCCTCCAGTTACTTCCCATCCCTCAAAGACAAATTGTTTAGCTTAAGATTTAGTGTTTCTAAACTGTGGCATGTGTTAGCACCTTGTAACAGTGGCATCCAGGGTGTTGTCATTCATTGTACAGTGTGTTTCAAGGACAGAATCCATCCATCATCTGGACATACTATGCTTAATGCTGCAGCAGTGTAAACTTCACCCTGTGCTGTATTTGTATTAGAGTGCTCCTATGTAGTAGTTGTTCAAAGGACCTACCCTGTGGAAGGAAGTGTGTGAGATTTTGGCTCAGATGGCTATAATAATTAAGGCGTTGTTATTCATTCTCATTGTGCTTATGCTGAACAAATAAAATAAGAATGAAATTGAGAATCCTTTTAATTTTTGCAAATTTATTGTTTCAATGTATCAAGAGCATAACTGCTATAATTAGATAGATAGATACTTTATTGATCCCGTGAGGGAAATTGCAGGGTGATGTGTTGATTGCTTATTCTTTTAGCTTTGTCACAATGGAGTAGGTAGATGAGGTAATTAAAGGTCCTTCTGAGAATCAGAGTGTAAAACATCAAGCCATGTCATCTCAAATATAGTTTGGAATGAACTCTGAAACATAGATTTCATTATTAATTAATTCAGATTTTCATCTTTCAGAAATGGTTGGAGAGAACTCCTGGTCTTGAAGAAAAAGGCTTTAACTTTTGGGGAAAACTGCAAAGAAATATTGAAGAAGGACTGATGCAGGAAACTGAGAGAGTTGAAGTAAATGTTTACCATAACATTATCCTAAATAAATGTTAACATCCTTTTACCCCCAAATAAAATTAAAATGTAAAATAAATTTGTTAAACAACTTTTGACAGAAACTAGAAGAATCAGAGATGAAGGAGGAAATGCTTGCCGAACTCATGAAACAGAAAGAAGTTTTCAACCCTTTATTTGATGAGAAGAGACACGAGCATCTTTTGAGTAAAGGTGACATTTTTCTTCTATACTTGTTTTCAGATAAAAAGTTAATGACCTAAACTTTATAATCTAGTCACAATAAAGTCATAATCTACCTTTGAAAAAGTAACTAGTTAAATTAAAATGATGATTTTCTCATTTAAGAATTAACGAACCACCATAAATGGTGACATAAGATCTACATCTTGCTAAAAAGAATCCATAGTGTAGTCACAATTGCTTGCTCAGGTCTACTCACTTTTTTATGAAACTGTTCATTTAATAGTGAAATAAAAGTTACAAGTATATGACTGTAAATAAGAGTTATTAACTGAAGTTCAGTGGAGAAATAACAACAACAAATTAATCTCACACAGCTATCCCTGATCACTCACAATCTTTATGTAAACTAACTATACTGTACATGCAGTATCAAACAAACACCTCCCTTTTAATTCATTTCAAACATCCCTCCTCTCTGAAAGGGGTTCAAGCCTCCTGACCCTATGACCAGGAGGATGGCAATGAACCAATCAGATTAAGCTAAACCTATTTTAACAAATAATCCAAACATTCACAAAGCTTCTAATTCTTCTGTCATTTTCCCTCATGAATTTAAGGCTGGAAATAGAACACATTAAGATTCTTCCTAACATAACTTCTTAACAGGACACATGGGCATTATATGCAATCTATATTACGTAGGCATGATGCCAGTCTGTATTTGTCTATGTGCATGATAAAAAATGTGATATTAAATGTGATAGGGAATAAGTATATTAACATAATATTCTTTCATCACAGGTGAAAGAAGACTTTCTTATAAGGCTCTCCAGGGAGCACTAATGATTTACTTCTACAGGTACAATTTTATTTTTGTGCAGCTTTGTGTATAATTTTGTTCTACATGATTTTTGATTATCAGCACAGTGGCGTGGTGGTTAGCAGTACTACCTCAGAGCAGGGGGGCCCTGGGTTTTTGCTGGTTGCTCCAGTTTCCTCCCGAAGCCCAAAGACAAATTGGTAGCTTAACTGCATTCTGGAAAAACTGGTCTGTGTTTGTGTGTGTCAGTGTTTATGTTTATGTGTGCCTGCCCTGTAATGGACTGGTGTCCATCTGAGGGTGTATCCTGCCTTGTGCCTGTTTCTTGCCAGGATATGCTCCGGCTCCCTGCAACTCTGCAATGGAGGAAGAGGTTAGAAAATGGGTGGGTGGATGATTGTTCATTCATGACAGATTTATCTTTCTCCCAGGGAGGAGCCTCGTTTCCAGGTCCCCTTTCAGCTGCTTAATTCTTTGATGGACATTGATGGTCTTATGACAAAATGGAGATGTAAGCTCGTTTTCTTCCATTGTGTTTTTTAATAAAACTGAATATCAGATAGAAAGCAACACTCCTTCCCTCCTGTTTATAATACATTTTCTTATATTTCCACTAGATAACCATGTCTGCATGGTACACAGAATGATTGGTAGCAAGGCTGGAACAGGAGGGTCATCAGGCTACCACTATTTGCGTTCCACAGTGAGGTAAACTCCTTTGACTTTCTTAACTTGTCTTTCCTTTTATACTATAGATCATGTCATGGCAATCCTGCTGTTTACTGGTTTAGATTATAGCAAAATTGGTCTGGTGAAAGTAATGCAAAATTTCTTCTCTTTCCTTAAACATCAGGTTCCTGAATCTTCAGGGTATTATGGAATCCAGGGTCCTTTCTATTCTCCGCACTCTGAGCAGCAGCACTCTACTGAATTTGAAACACAATGGTGCAGTTTACTTCCATACTCATAGAAAATCTTGATTCTTATTTTGCAGCGATCGTTACAAAGTTTTTGTGGATTTATTCAACCTTGCCACGTTCTTGGTTCCACGCAGTTGGGTGCCCAAACTGAATCCCGTTGTCCACAAGTTCCTCTACATGGCAGAATGCTGTGATAGCTCCTACTTCAGCAGTGAAGATTCTGACTAGAAAGTGTTCAGGAAGAACGTGTTACCTTTGGACTCTTTCTTTCTGAGTTTCACATACAGTACCTACAGTACTTTCATTAAAACTGACTGATATCATCATCGAGTCAATAAATGAGAAATAGATTCCGAACTATTTATGGATTAACTATTTATTTTACAAATAGGGAATAAAAAGTAATTTAGGGATTTATTTTAATGTATAGATACAATTGGATAGACATTTCCCATTAAATGACCCAGAATAAATAATGATTGAGAGTTACATACAAAAGCAGCATTTTATAGGCTCGTCAATCTTGTTGAATCTGGCTGTACACCTAAATTTACTGTAAATCAGATTTATCAAGTATAATGTATACAGTATAATTGAGTGTAATGTTTGTATCATAACATAAATCAAGTGTAATTCTGGCTCATGCTTTAATTTCAGGACATGTTACTATTAACTTTCCACTTTAAAATAAATATTTTAACCTGTCCATGTACTAAAGTAAATGTTAGTGTTTGTATTATAAATAAACCATTTTAAGTGTACTGTATTTTTGTCTTATGTATTAATTTCAAGACATTTTATTTTTGGCTTTCCCATTTACAATAGTAAATGTCATGTCTTTGCTTTTGTATTGTATTGAGTGGATGTGGGTGAAGAGAATGACTAAGACCAACAGAGGAATACATCAGGTTTCTTCATTGTGCTGGAAGGAGGCACACCAGATCATCAGAGCTGTTTATGCGCATGACAATGATGGATTGCTCCTTTGGCACATTGAGTGTTCTATGTTTCTGGGTAGACTGAAAATGCTGTAATTATTAGAGAAATAAACATTGCAATTACGCAGGATATCTGCCTGTGGTTAAAGGTCTGTGGATACACTGGTGGTTCCAGAGGATATAAACAACCTGTTGTGAGGCAAAGAGGGACCTAGAACCCTTGAAATTGCTAGGTGGAAGATACAGATACAAAGTCAATAGTATTCTGCATTTAGGGGGTCACCATCCAAGGCAACCACAGTAAAATTGTAACCACAGCTGTAAATGCTCTAGTAATTCTAATATACAACTGCGCTTGAGACCTATTTTCCCCATTTGGTCCTAAGAATTTTCAGAAAATATATTTTTTTCTTCATAGGCATTATTATACCTCTCCAAAAATTGCATTTTGCTTTCACACTCATTTCGATGGATTTCTGGTTTGAACAAAGGCTTTCGAACCATAGTCCCAACCGTAGCAACGTCTCTGAATAGGCATTATGAACACGCTGACTAACAATCAATGAACTATAAAAAAACTAAATGTGCAAAAAAACAGAATGTAGAATGGTTTTAGAAAAGATTAATGTAAAAAAATGACCAAAATAGTCCAAGTGTGGCTTTACCCCTAGAAGGCGGTTAGTAGCTAGCAGATGTTGTCTCCAGCTGTTGACAATGTAACTTTCGTAAAACTAACATTTTTCATATATATACAGTATATATATGCAGTATGCCCTCTTAATGAAAGCACTTTAAAGAGCTACTTGATTTTTTGTTTTGGTTTCTAAGGACCAAAACAATCTTGATTAAAGGATTTAGTAAAGTTCAATGACAGAGAACCATGGTTCCAAAAATATCATTTTTATGACCTTGGATATAGTGTTGATCTTTCTGAGCATGATCCTGATGCTTTTTAGGATAGATATACCTTTTCGATATTATTCCAAAAAATATTCCTATTCTTCTTTATGATGCATTGCTGTTTCTTTTTTGTTTCTCTTCTAAATTGGGATTATTGTCAAACATCCAAGAACGTTTTAAAACGTTGTTATAAAACACGTTTTTGGTGGAAATTAACTTTTAAGTGTTCAATGTTACTGATATGATGAGAAAAAAGTTAAGCAAGTTCATTTATTCCATTCTAGAAATGTAAGGATGTAGACAACTATTTCTAAAAACTCCTGTGGAAAAATAAAACCATACATTTTAGAAACTATAATAGTTGCCTCTGATAAAAATAGAACATTTGATTTTTCGGTTATATTGCTGTTTTCTCACAGTAAATAGTTAAATTTGAATTACTGGGCTGAAATGCCTATTTTTTGTTAAATTATGAAATTTCAAATTTTAAAGATTGTTTTTCCTTTGCATGCAGGATTGCAGTAGAATCTATAGGCCTTCCATGCAATTGTGCTTCATGTTATAGTGAAGGATCCTGAAAAACTGCACATCATTTTACAATATATTCAATTCAAATCATTTTTATATAGTGCCTTTCACAAGGTTGAAGGTTGAAGGTTTCACAAGGCGCTTAACAATACAATTGAGAATACAGTTTGTCAATACAGAATAGGAGACCAGAAGACAACAGAGGAGAGGAACCAAAAACTCCTTAGTAAGGAGAGAAAAACCCTCTAGGGGTCCAAGGTCAACTGGTTGCCCAACCCCTTTGGGTATGCTAACATTATATCATTTAAAAAAGGAAACGACGAGGGTATTAATCCATCCATTCATCCATCATGTCTTCTGTGTGTTAGTACTCCATGCAGATCTCTTTAGACCAGTAAATTCCTCCTATAGCTACAGTATATCCACGATGTCCCTCTTGGATCCACGGCAGTGACGCAGCATCCAACTCAGATGGTACCCAGCCCGGGCACCATCTGAACATGTGAGGAGGAGAATAGGATGATTTCGTCAGAACAGATGTATCTACCTCACGGGGCAACATAGAGACACACAATGGCATGTACAGCTGCACCAGCAGCCATGGTTGCAGCAGGCTATAATGTAAGGTGTGAGTAGGCTAGGCTGAAGTAATAGGTCTTCAGTCTGGATTTGAATACTGAGATTGACTCGGCATCCCGAATATGGGATATATTAAAAGTGTTCATGGAAAAAAATGGGGTCACTAATTTTTACAGAGAATGAAATTAGGTATTCTGCATGCTGTTTTTGAGAAGAAAACCTCATCTACTAGCAACACTGTTTCAAAAGTATATGCAGTTACTTTTAACATAAGTAACTATTCTAATTTCTAAACCTTTACAGATATATATTGTACAAAATGTGGAAAGGGTTGGAAACAATACAGAAAAAAATATTCCTGTGATTTTTTAAATTTTATTTTAAAATCAGAAACAGCTTGTACAAAAAATAAAATATCACAATACATTGCTCATTTACATATTCTGAAAAACAGAAGTTTTATGTATTTATTAGCAACTGGAAATAAACTTACATGTATATGAAACTTATTAAAAACTCAATTCTAATTTCAAGTTTTAAGTTCAGATGTTCTTTAAAAACATTACCAAGTATAAACCCTTCAAAATATCTCATTTTCAGATCTTCTTAAAAAGGTGAAAAAATAGTCCATAAACAATTTAAAATGGAATTAAATATAAAATGTTGTCTTCTCTCAGTGTGGTACTTTTGGTAAACTTACTGGAGTAAATGAAAGGACAGGTTTTATTAATTGAAATCTTAGCTCCTTTCCTAAGGTCAAGCTCCAAAGTCTATTTAGTTCTGTTTCTGAACAACCCAGTGTTACTTTGGGTAAAGTAAACTAGATGGGCACTAATGCAAACCTGTGAAATAAACCTTAAGTGCAATAATGGTAGACTGTGGGTTCAAATCCCAGGCAGGGCTATAGCTGTTCAACCTTTGCAAGAACTGCTAAAATGGTTACTCTCAGAGGAGTTGTTGCAAAGAAAAATTTAATCTAAACGTACTTACTAAGTTTTTTTATTGATATCTCAATAAATAACAGATTCATTGAGATATTTAGAATTTGACTTGAGTAAAATCGTCATCTCTTCCCCTTGGACTCACGGTATAGTTTTACAGCAATGACGGTCCTGCCAGTCATCTAATTAACATTAATTAATTCCTGGTATATTGACTTCAAGGCCTTCAAGGACTTTACATCTGGTCACAAAAAGGCAGCAGTTACAGTATCAGCAATGCCTGGCAAAGAAAAGGTACAAAACAAAAACATCAAAGATCTTTGAATGTTTCCTACAGAAATTTAGAGTTTTTGAATTTTCTTTAATGAATACATCTTGCTACAACAGTGAAAAACAAGTGAGGATGAAGGGTAACAAGGACAAATGGAGAAGAGATATCTTAGCAAGGACAGCCATTTTCCTATATGGTCAAATTACATTTCAAATTAAATTTAATTTAGCTGTTAAGCATGTTTTCTAGCTGTCCCCAGGTAATTCGTATAATATAGGAAAAACATATTTGGGACTGAATTCCTTATAACTCAGTAAACAAGGAAATTTTTAAAAACAGAACTAAGGATTAGGGTGTATTTAATGGGATTAATTAAATCTCTAAGGTAACAAAAAATACAGATTTGGTTGCTGTTAAAAGTCATCACTTGTACTTTAAAAACACAAGGTTAAGATGCTACACCAAATAATTTACTGAGAGAAAGTGGTTTTCTTTGTCAGAAAACAGGAAGAAGAATATTTTTACATCCGGGTGTTTCAGGGCCTGTTTTTTTAAGCAGAGCCGCACTACTATTTGTGTAAAATGCATTATAAATACAATATGGAAAGTAAAAAAAATAAAGAAAATTGCCAAATGGTCCCATTAAATTCATAAATGCTACTTTATCCATTATAATAATAAAAAACCTTACCACGGTTTCCAAGACAATTACAACCGAATCGTCACCCTCTTACTTACCACAAACATTGCTTCCCATTTTAATGTAGACATAGCCTTCATTGCCCCATGAGGCTCCCCATGAGTTGCGCACTATCCAGTAAGGAACATCACCTAGGATAACATAAAAAAAAATAAAAATATTAAAAATAATCTATTAGGTACTGTAATGGAGAAGGTGTTTCTCACTGTCGTTCATGTTATTTTAAGCCATGGGAAGGCAGCTTAGGGATGCTACAGAGAACAATAAGGTAGACATTTGTACAAGGCTGTAAGAGAGGACTCTATGCAGCTGTTTTTCCATTTTCTCTATAAATACATATGAATACATACTGTATGGTCTTGTGGTAAGACCAGTCATTTGGTTTGGTTAGTTTTGGAGTCATCACTGATAAAGCATAGGGATAGACATAGGTTAAAGGCTTAGCTAACACTGTCAAACTCTTGGCAGAGCCAATGCTGCAACAGAAAAGAAACTGGGAACCCTAAGTTGGATGGAGTCACTTCAGCCCCCAGTATAGACTGAAAGATACTCATTAAGGTTGAGACAGAAGGGGAACCCGGATAGGCCAGTAGGCTACTACTGACCATATTAGTGAGAGATGGTAATTGTATTTCACCAGGGTTGGCAAAGCCTCATCCCCTGTTCCATGATTCCCCATAGTTCAACTGGTTAATATGTATAGCTCCTCCTACACAGCACACAAGTCTCTCAGTATTCAGTTTGTAGCTGGCTATGGGATCAACACAGAACTGACTTCATATGTGAACAGAACAAATGACAGCAGTGATAATGCCATTTTCTTCAGTCAAATTTGACAGGCAGAGTTTTCTAACAGGACATGACATCTTTGTGCACTTACACTTAATCTCCTAAATGTAAGTGCACAGAGATGTCATGCCCTGTCAGAAAACTCTGCCTGTCAAATTTGACTGAAGAAAATGTAAGTCTAAGCACTTTGAAATGCTCAATATCCATTCACTGAAACACTGTCATACCCATGTTGCTAGGATCAAAGTTGTCTGGTTTTATTAGAATGTAAACATCAGGCCAAATCTGGAAATCTGCCTGTAGTTCTTGCCTGTACATTTCAATCTCAACAACACCGAAGGTATGATGTTTTCATAGTTCTTTAAGGTGATGGAAACAGAGGAAAATCAAGGTGTCAGTAGTACTGAGAAAAAAATGGCAAGTTTCATCTAGTCTGCACACAGCTGTTGGAGGTTGAGAAATAATCAAATAATGCACAATAATGACGGTCAGAAACATTAGTTGCACAAAGTATTTGACACCATCCAGTTCCCAGTAGTTTTGACTTTTCAGAAAAAAAACCTTAAACTTATCAAGACAGTTCACAAAGCATTCAAAAACCTTTCCATAACTTAGCCTGTTGTAAAACAGAATGTCCTTGTATGCTCTCTCCAAGCAGACCTTGAAACTGCCAGTGTATCAAGGAAAATCAAGCGACCACAAAATTCTCTGTTTTCTGTAGGCATCTCTTTATTAAGATCAGAATTAAATATCTTGGCAAAAAAGATCTTTTTGAAGAATAATACAATGAAATTTTACCCTTGGGTGACTAATTTGATCTTTATAAATTATTTCTATTTTCCAACCATACAGTAGCAGGTTGAACAAATCCAAATTCATTTCTCAAAGAGGGCTGGAAAAAAAAATCTAACATTGTTTTCTTAAGAATTACCATTACTGTCCAAAAGGTTAGACCCAACACTTAAAGTGTAAAAAACATGACCAGTGCTTAGTGCTCCCAAGATCGAAGGTAGGCTGTCCCCGCTAAAAGTAATGTTGTAAATAAACTGAATTGTTTTTCTTTCATTGAGTGGCACAACTCAGAGATATCTACTGTAAACATGACTTAAAGCAGTAAAGGCTAGTTTTATCATCTTTTATTAACAAGACTTTTTGCCATTGATTAGACTTTCATTGGAAATGACAGTCACAAACATGTTGCGTTTCTGTACACTGCCGACCCCCGTTCTTTACAATAATACCATCAGGTCACGCCACTGGCATCCAAATTCATATGTCAAATGGACTATTCAGTTAAAACAAATGCAATACAATCCAACAAATGTAAAACTGAAATTGCAAGCATGCCGATAATACTGTGTTTATTTTGTGTACAAAAAAAGTACTGTTTTGTTTGAGCTATTTGAGTTTTCTTACCTGTTCTGTCATACCCTGTGATGAGGACAGCGTGATTTGCCTCCTGACTAGAGCAGTGATGCTGTATAACACCTCCAAGATAGTCCTGCCAACTAACTGCATCCACTGTTACTGCAAGTGGACCCCAGTTCACAAGCTTCTCCATCATTATCTCCTCTTGTCCACTGGAAAAGATTGATTGTATGGAAATATGAACCAGTATCTTTAATAGCAGCAAAAATAATTATGATGAAACGTGATAGACCAAAAACAGTTGTTTGAAAAGAAAAGAAAACAAGGACTAGACAAAAACCAGGCTATTACAGCAAAGACAAAAAAGTAAGTACAATTACAGTAAAAAAAACAATTGTGAAGCAAACTGTTACCAGACTATAAATTCAAAATGTGATGTGTGTGGAATGGAAATGTGTCACCAACATTGTCCTTAATTCTACTTGCTAAAGGCCTAGGGTATGTGCTAAGCAAATACATTATAATGGAGCAAGAACTGTCAAGCCTATGAATAACATAGGAAAAAAAGAGAACACTTAAGCAGCCAAAAATCATTAGCCAAACTACTGCACATAAATGTAGATATAAAAAACTATATATCATTTGACTCTGCAGTTCAACAATTTAGGAAAGGGGGACATGGTCGTTGATCTATGAAATGTAGATCAAGAAACTGTACCCTCTCCCCAGGCTATGTGAGACTTCACTTACACAGATTCTACTTTATGTAAAAACTTCTGTGGGTGCAATTATCTAGGTAAAGAGAGTTTATGTTACACTTGTAAAAATAAGTAGTATGGCACGTTCCTTCAGCAGATGAATAACATGGAGTAAACAAAGAGGTCACTGCCAGGGCTCTGTTTTACACTTCAGTCTCGCTTTGCCTTCACACGTTTGGTAACATCTGCATATTATCTTGTGCTTTTCATTGGAAATTGCAAGTAACCCACATCACAATCATGTCAGGGAAGCACCCAAGTGTATTTTGTGTTTATGGCATAGTATAGTGTAGGGCAATTAATAATACATTCTTTAAAATGTAATTCTAATTTGTTGCTGTAATGTATATCTTTAAGAGTATTCTATATCTAGTGTTTAAATGTACTAATTAAAGACTTTAAAACCATGTCGTTTTCATTCATTATTGGTTAGTTCATTTCTTCCCTCTATATCAACAGGGAAAGTTTTCTTTCTCTCGTCTCATGGACTGCTAGATGCTGCTACAATAAACCCAAGTGAGCCTGCAGTTCTGCTCTCCTGTCCCTCCTTCCTCACTTGCACACAGCTAGCACAAATAAGGAGGATCACTGGAATATCATAAACGGTGATTCTCTTTATGTACTCAAGCAAACCCCTAAGAAAGGATCCCTTCCGACTTGTATAAGATTCAACTTGGGTAAAGACTTGCTTTTTTTGCTAAACTGTGGTGATATTTTTATTTGACCATAGAGCATAAATGTTGCAGTATAGTTAAAAGTGAAACAAAAGACAAAACAGACAAATGCATCTTTGGCCACATTGTCCTAAAGAAGAAGAGCTATTGACATTTGCATTAAATAAAAAATATCACCACAAATTAAAATATTATGTAATAAATTTATGGTAAATTTCTAAATGCATACAAAAATTAAAAATTAACTTCTAAAAATCATTACCATGTACATGACCTATATGTTATTGAACTGACAGTTCAAATTCAGTATTTACTCAGGTTAAAAAAAAATCTGTTCACAAAACCTAACTATGGGTGCCTCGGACAAACTATCAAGCAATGCAGCTGAAGAAGTAGCCCTTGGACCCTTTAAGAACTGGATGGATGAGATTCTTGGCTCTACAAACTAACAAAGGGCAAGATTAGGTTGAATGACATACTAGATAAACTTTATTTTGTTATATTTAATCTCTTATTTAACACAAAACCTACACAAGTTGTTAACGTTACAAAATGAGTGCTATGATAAACAATCTAGAAATTAATACTGATAGAACTGGGCCTTTAAATTAAAAATTGCTAAGGTGCATATCAACAACATGTACATTTGTAGATCTGAAACTAAACAATATACAAATGAATAAATTAAAACAATGATGCACATGCACAAGTAAGAAGTATTATTCAGGACTGTATTTACAATTTTGAAATAGTTTATGAATATCAGTGAAGCAAATATTACCTTTAAGTTAGTTGTAAATAAACTGGTAAATTGCTTTTGCTTGACAACCTGTTTTTCACTATTTAGGTATTTGCTATTTGGAGATCCTAAAACAAAGCATAATTTTTAATTTTCCAGCTTATACATTATATGACATACCTGAAGTCATAAGCCACAAAATCCTTTATTGATACTCCAAAATGTGATTTTGCAAAATAATGACAAATTCCTGTTAATGCTTTAAAAGGATAATCCAACTCTTTCACTAGTTTTTCTTTTGTCTGTAAGAAAAAAAACAAACAAGTCAGATAAAAGTATAGATATCCAGTGTAAATATTATCATTAGAAAAGAAAAGTTTTACAAACAAAAAACAGACAGAATTAAAAAAGAGTTCCTGAAAAAAGTATTTGAAACAGCTTTTGGATTGACCTGGAATACTGGAAAAGACTGCTGTTGAGTTTATATCCCTGTCCATAAACATATACAGAGATAAAACCAAGGCTTTTAACCTATATACACAATGTGTTAAAAGATCTTCAAGAAGTGAAGGTCTGAAAAAGTCCAAGTCTGGAAGTACTCTGTGTGTGTGCAGAGAAGTATTAAAAGTAGTAGTATTTGCATGGGAGTATGCATATTTGAGCCAGTGTTTGGAAGATATGGATATGACATGAATTGTTAGATGCCAGATATGGTATATCATTTTACACACCTGACAGCTTGAAAACAAAAATTAAAACTGACCTGATTTAGCCAGTTTAAAGCAACCACAGTAGAGCCACCATTGCAACCCTTGTTCTTATAAGAGCAATCAATCACTTGCTGAACGCTAAGCTCCTCCAGGGAATGACCTTGTATTCCATAAACAGATTCTATTCCTCCAACTACACTGAATGCCCAGCAGCCCCCACACTGTGAAGACATAAGAAAATAAACAAACCAGTACATCAATACAAATTGGAACAGGATTAACATCTATTTGCATATGAACATAAAATAAATCCCATATACTATAATATATTTTAAAATGCATAACCCTGCTCTTGCTACTAAAAAGATTGATTTATTTAGCTTGATTCTAATCCTATTAAACAGGACTAAAAAGGGTAATCTCCTGAAGAAAATGTATTTAGTTTTCTCTCTTCACAGTCAATTGTTACACAAGGGCATCACAATTTGATGTAAACTCTAAGTGACACTAAAGGTTATATCTGACATGTCTACTATACTCCTAAAAAGGACGAGAAAATTGAAAGAAACAAACATAAATAGACATTTATAAAAAGTTCTGTCAGCACATACTTTGTGTTCAATGCTTTATTTAAAATATTTAAAAAGTATTTACAATGATGACTTGGGCAATAGCTTTTTTACCTCAAGGCATAATGGCAGCAATATGAGTGAAGTACCTTGATGACAGACAACAACAACAGGAGTGCTTCACTCAGGACTTGAGCCCACAACCTTAGTCTCTAGTCTATTAGACCTTGACCTTGAGACCCCTGAAATCCAATTATTTGATATACATTTATTAGTAAAGGTCCTTCTAATTATTAATTAAATAACTAAAAATCTGGTTGCAACAAACCTGTGCAATTGGAACGGATTGAAGAGGCTGCTGGTCGAGAAAACAAGCCCTAGCTAATATGCCACACTACGGCCCCAAACTTTTTTTATAATTGTGTAATATGACTGTCTTTCAATTTTCACATGTGCAACTTCTCACTCTAATGTATAGCATATTCTTTCTAGTATAGTTTCTTCTATAGTTTGTGTCCATATTTGGCAGCTTTTATACATCAAAAGGTGTGCGATCACTTTTCCAAAAGTACAGACACTAAAAAATTGAGCAGACGTACATTCAAAACGGTTGCAATGCAACATAAATTTCAAATGTTTCACTATAATATTAATATTTTGAGCTACTGGATTCGATAATCATCAATGTTATACCCGTACAATGTTACCATCACCAATTATTGATCTCCTTGGTTTAGTCCTACAGCCCCAGTATGACATGGGGAAATAGGCTGCTAGTGCCACAGCACTTGACTGGACAAATGACACGTCCCTCACTGGTGCCTGTCAAGTCCCAGTGCGGACAGAAGCCAAAGCAAAAACCTAACAGAAAAAGCGAATAAGCTTTTCCTCAGCTTTTTTTTTTTTATGACCAATTCAAAAGTTCCAGCAACTACTGATTTTCCTTATACAAACTAATGTATAATGGGAATTTTCTCATTAGATGCATAATAAGGTGAAAATGACAAGTTGTAGTATACATCCAACCATTTTCTAACTGCTTTATCTAATTATTCACAGCAAGCAATAGGCAAAAGGCAAAATACACCCTGGACAGGATCCTAATCCATCGGAGGACACACATGGACACAGACACACACACATCACCAATTTTCCCAGAAGCCAAAAAACCTACCACTATGCTTTTGGACTGTGGGAGGAAACCCACGTCAACATGGAGAGAACATACAATCTCCACATAAATAGCACCCCAGAAATTGAATCCAGGGCACCAATGCTAACCACTGCACCACCATGCCAGCCTGTAATACACATGAAATGCTAGCAGCCATATCACCCTGCTACTCACAACTGGCAGCCCACTGGAGCTCAGCAGGTGTGAGCCTGGTCAGTACCTGGATGGGAGACCTCCTGGGAAAAAACGAAGGTTGCTGCTGGTAGTGGTGTTAGGGGGACCAGCAAGGTCACCCTGCGGTCTGTGTGGGTCCTAATGCCCCAATATAGTGATGGAGACACTATACTGTAAACAGGCGCCGTCCTTCGGATGAGACGTAAAACCGTGGTCCTGACTCTCTGTGGTTGTTAAAAATCCCAGGGTGTTTCTCGAAAAGAGTAGGGGTGTAACCCCGGCATCCTTTCCAAATTTCCCCATTGTCCCTTACCAATCCTGGCCTCCTAATAATCCCATCTATGAATTGGCTTCATTACTCTGTTCTCCGCCCCACTAATAGCTGATGTGTGGTGAGTGTTCTGGCACACTATGGCTGTGGTCGCATCATCCAGGTGGATGCTACACATTGGTGGTGGTGGAGGGGAGTCCCCATTACCTATAAAGCGCTTTGAGTGGAGTGTCCAGAATAGCGCTATTTAAGTGTAAGGAATTATTATTATTATTATTATTATTATTAAATAGAAAAAAATATTCACACTTACTGACTGTTGGTTCTGAACAGGGGTAACAACTTTCTTATCTCTCCAGTCAAACCTCAGAGGTAAGGGTCCATGGAATCTTTCTTCCTTCAGGTTTGTAAACAGTGGAACTTTTTCAGGCCGGGCCTTCAAATACTGTTCTGAAGTGGGAAAATAAGGATGATTCTAAACACTATAAAATAATTTAAAACTGAAAAGCTACAGAAAACTATAATTAAAAATATATTTTCTGTTTAAAAAAACATATTGTATTAAGCAGGCTTGCATTAAAATTGTAGTCTAAGATTACCTCTGAATTCTGTGGTTGAAAAGTCAGAAAACTGGTTTATGCCATACTGAGCAGAATTGTTAGAGGAATCAAATGACAAATTCAGGAATGAGTGTCTTCTAATGCTGGCCTGAAACACAATTTTAAAATACAATCCATTTTCATTATCAATGTAGTTTAAAACTTTTTAAAACATTCTGGAATAACATTGTTCCATTGTTTCAAAACGTTATGTTATTTGATGCTATTAATTACAAAAAATAAAACAGTATAGTATAAAAAGTCCACCAGGATTAGTATGAATGAAAAAAACCGCCTTGATCAGTTGACCACTCTATCAAACCGTATTTATAAATCTATTGCAGAACTTTAGAAATAGAGATCTCAAAATGTTGTGAAAGACTAGTGTTTTTTAAAAATGTTATTAAATTAATCCTCAGTTTTGGTAAGAAAAAAGTCGTTGTTTTGTCACAGCATGTGAAGTGCAACGAGGTCAAGTACAAAAAAGAAAATTCAGTATAAATGTTTATAATGAACAGAGCTTTTTCATCATTGTGACAGGGTGTGCGCTAATAAAACGTCCCGTTCCGTACCGTGTGAGAAGGAGACGTACCTTAAAATTATCAAGCTTCAGTAAAAAATCTTTGCTGTCAGCTACAAAACTTCTGTTAAACTTTTCCCTAAACAAACGAAATTCACTTGTTTCTGATTTAACAAGGCCACCATGACCAGACACAGAAAGTACATTGTGTACCGTACGGTAAGAATCACTGTGAAAATCAGAAATTATTTTTCCCGATAAGGCACAAAGTCCATTTGCAGCGACCAAAACCAACAGTATATAACCCCTCATTTGACCAATGTAGTTTAAAAGTTACACAACTTTCACATGCTGAATTCTCTTCCTTCCAATCACATGACTTGTGTGTTTGCTTGAACAGCTAAACAATTGCATAAAACTTCCGGTGCTTCAGCTCTTTGTAGAAGTACGGAAGTAAACATCTCTTTAGTTATATAAATTATATTATGTAATATATATTATAATATTTTCGAGACATGTTTTAAGTTATTTTTTATCGTTACTTATGATATATGTGTAGTGAGTCAGATTTTTTAAAAAAAATCTCTTACACGGATAAATTCATTTGAATGGTTACGTAGAGATGGGCGTGTCGTTAAATCTAGAGACTAGTTGAAGTTTATTCCCGTTTATTCCGGAGCAGAACCGTATGATTATAGTAATACACAGTAGTAGCGGACATGTTTTGGGGTTTCAAGGTTTTCATCAGCATTGCGTTTTGTCTAGTGATGGTGTATTCGGGCCGACTTTAATTTGAAATTTTCATCTTTCTCCCTGTTGAAACAGTACGGATATCATTAGATTTGTGTCGTTTTGTAATAAAATGTATTTATGTTTTAGTATATATTTTTAAAATGACAATTTCTGGGCTTGTTTTTACAGAAATATATGAATCAATTCTTTAGCCCAATCAGTTAATTTAGGGGAGCTCTGCCTTGACATGTATCGAAAACGACAAGTATACGTATACGTATACGTGTGCACGACTGTATACAGTATCTGCTGCATGTAAGTTTATTTTATTCAGTCGTTTCATTTAAAAGGAAAAATTATTTCGACACTGAGTTTGAAAAAAATACTTTTATCTGCGCAACGTGATTACACTTAAGGATGTTTTTTTAGCAGACCAATTAATTGGGTCGTTGTCACGCTGAAAGGAAAACTTGCATCCCAGTTTCATCTTGCACAGGAAAACAGGTTTTCCTCAAGGACTTTTCTGTAATTTACTCTATGCATTTTTCCTTTCTGTGCTGAGAAGTTCCCCAGTCCCAGTAACATAATACTGTCACTACCATTTATCATTGTAGGAATGTGCTCTGTGGTTGGTGTGCTGTGTTGGCTTTTGCACCAGACGTAATACTTTGCTTTTAAGCCCAAAAGTTCCATTTTAGTTTTGTCAGGGCACAAAACAGTTTGCCTCAGGTTTGCAATATCACTTTAATGCTTTGTTGATGTTTTTTTGTAATGGCTTCCTTCATGCCCTCCTGCCATTCAGGCCAGATCTGGGGAGTGCTTAGGATATTGTTGCCACAAGCACACTTTGACCAACAATAAAAGCCTGTAGCTCTTTCAAAGTTGCCATTGACCTCTTAGTAGCCTCTTTGATTGGTCTCCATCTTGCACGGTCATCCAGTTTGCATGGACGGCCTTAATCTAGGTAGGGTTTTAGAGGTGCCATATGCTTTCCAATTCTTAATAATCAACTAGATCATGATCAAGGGATATTTTAATGTCTTTGAAATATGTTCTTTTTCAGCTCCCACTCTGTACTTTTCTATAACTTTATCTTGGAGAGTATTTCATAGCTTCTTGTTACCCATAGTTGATCATAGTTTGAGATGCATTAACTAACAGAGCTGAGCGACAGGAACATTTTATTCTGAAATCATCAGTATTACTGCAATTAGACACAGGTGGAGGCTAATCAGCTCGTTGTGTGATTTGGAAGGCAACTGGTTACACCAGAGCTAATTTACAATAGCTATTACTAAGGGGTGTATACAACTTATCCAACCCTTTTTTCTAGGTTTTAAGTTGTAATTACTTCCTAAAATGCTTGAACATTTTTCATTATTATGCAGATGATACACAGATTTACATTAAAATCTCTTCTCTACTGATCTCCCGCCTCTGTCATTTATCTCTTGTCTGCATAACATCAAGTTCTGGTTGACATCAAATTCCTTGAAGCTAAAAAAAAACCAGAAATGTCATTGATGGGTAGCAAATGTAGATGGAAAATCTGGAGGGCTTAACTGCAATGGTGTATGGCTTCCCCATTCAGGTGTTAGCCATATTCAGGAAGCTTGGAGTGATCCTTGATGCTCTCCTGTCTTTTGAGCCCCACATGAAAAATTTGATTCAGACCTATTTTTTTCGCCTTAGAAATATTGCACGCATTAGGTGGTCTATCAGTGTCCAATTCCGAGTGCTTGATTCGTCCATTAATAACATCAAAGCTTGATTTCTGCAACACTTGCCTAGCACACTCCTCAGTAATATCTGCAATATGTAAAATGCACAAACCTCTTCAGCTAGACTTCTAACTTGCATCACTCCTGCAATTAAATCTCTAAATTGGTTGCCTATAAAGTTACGTATTCAACATAAGATCTTGTTACTGACTTTGTGGTTGTAAATAATCTGGCTTCCTCACACATCTCCGAACTTCTTCATGTGTCCGCTCACTCCCATAGGCTCTGTTTAGTTGAGTCCTGTCCTTTATTTAATGTACCCATGACTACATTTTGGACTTTTGGTGAGTGTGTTTTCTCTGTCACTGCTTTATTGTTATGGAATGCTCTTACTTGAATACTTTGAGAGGCAAATACTTTGACTCTTTTCAAATCTATACTTAAAACTCACCTTTTTACTAAGGCCTGTGTCTGATTGCCTTACAGTTTATCCTGTGTGTTCTTGTTTTATTTATTTCATGTTTATTGTATTGTTACAAATAGAGGTTACGAAAATAGAGAATATCAGAAAATGACAGAGCGGGGTAATAAATAATTATATAGTCCTATCCCCCAAATTGTAAAGATATGCCAAGAATATACCTGAGTGGCTGGTATAATTGGAGTAATATGTCAAACACACTGGGTTAAACAAATATTAATTAGTAATGACAACACACATTAAACAACACACAGCATACAAACTTGCAAATGCAGCATCCCAGAGGCCTACAGTATATTCAGACCAACCAGAAAATATCCTAGACTGCTACCTAGACAACCCTAGACTGCTACCAATTATTTAACTCTTACATAACACCTACACAGGCCAACAAGAAGCTTAATCCACCTTCTGAAGTAAACAAAATATGACCTTTAAATAAAAATAAAAAACTGAAATCTCCCATTTACAAAAGTATTCAGACCCTTTATTATGACAAATTGAGCTCAGATGCATCCTGCAGTATTTCATTTGATCATCTTTGAGATGTCTCTAGAACTTGATTGTAGTCCACCTGTGGCAAATTCACTTGATTGGACATGATTTAGAAAGGCACGCACCTGTCTTTATAAGATCACACAGTTCACATTGCATGGCAGAGTAAAAACCAAGCCAAGAAATTCTCTGTAGACCTCCAACATAGGATGGTGTTAATCCATAGATCTGAAAAAAGGGTATAAAAAAATTGGCAATGCATTGAAGGTTCCCAGGAGCACAGTGGCCTCCATCATTGTCAAATGGAAGTAGTTTGGAACCGCCAAGACTCTTCCTAGAGCTGACCATCCTCCTAAATTGGGTATTTGGGCAAGAAGGGCCTTGGTCAGGGAGGTGACCAAGGACCCAATGGCCACACTGACAGAGCGTCAGAGTTCCAGTGTAAAGATGGGAGAACCTGCCGGAAGGGCAACCAACTCTGCAGCACTCCATCAATCAGGTCTCTAAGGTAGACTGGCTAGACGGAAGCCTCTGCTGAGTAAAATGCATATGACAGCCCACCTGGAGTTTGCCAAATGGCACCTGAAGGACTCTGAGAGCATGAGGAAACTGGTCTGATGAGGAAACTAGTCTGATGAGACAAGAATTGAACTCCATGTCTGGCAAAAACCAGGTACCGCTCATCACCTTGCTAATACCATCCCTACGGTGAAGCATGGTGGTGGCAGCATCATGATGTGGGGATACTTCTCAGTGGCAGGGACTGGGAAACTAGCCAGGATTGAGGAAAAAATGAATGGAGCCAAATACAGAGAGGTCCTTAAATAAAACCTCCAGAGCGCATACAACCTCGGACTGGGGCGAAGATTCACCTTTCAGCATGACAATGATCTGAAGCACACAGCCAAGACAACACTGGAGTGGGTTTAGAACAAGTCTCTGAATAACCTTGAGTGACCCAGCCAAAGCCCAGACTTGAACCCCATACAAAATCTGTGGAGGAACCTGAAGATTGCAGTTCACCAACGCTCCACATCCAATCTGACAGAGTTTGAGAGAATCTGCAGGGAAGAATGAGAGAAACTGCCCAAATCCAGATGTGCAAAGCTGGTAGAAGCATACCCAAGAAGGTTCGCAGCTGTAATCACTGCTAAAGGTGGTCCTACAAAGTACTGAATAAAGGGTCTGAATACTTCTGTAAATGGGAGATTTAAGTTTTTAATTTTTAATAAATTTGCAAAAATTCCTATTTTCACATTGTCATTATGGGGAATTGTGTGTCGATTTGATAGTAAAAAAGAATCAATTCATCTGATTTTGAAATACGTTTAAAACACAACAAAGTTTGGAAAAAGTGGAGCGGTCTGAATACTTTCTGAAGACACTGTATATAAAACAAGATATCTTGTTTGACACACAGATATAAGTCCCAGGTCTGCATAGAAAGCACTCGGCTTATAATTCTTCTCTACCATTTTAAAAACAAGGACATTTTCCCTTTAGTTATGAGGTAAAATTGCACTTTTGTGTCGGCATTGTGTCTAGGGATAGCAAAATAAAATATCAAACGAAATGTCTTGGAAAAAACCCTACTGTGCACAGTACAGGATCATATAAATTACTGAAATTAGCTCTGTGGCTGAGTCAGGGATGGAGGCTGCAGAACAATCGTACCTGTTCAGAAGGAGGACTGGGGCAGCAGACTACACAAGTCTACATTGTAATCAACACACAATCTCTCTTTCAACTGATCAGGACTCCCTTAACCCCAGTAACCATTTTGCATTTAAAACCTTTTAGGCAAAATAATAAAGTAAAAGTTCTATTTTAAGATATTTGAAAATTTCTCCTGGGTGAAGGTTTAAGGACCAAAAAGAACATGTCTGGGGAAAAAAAATGGAAACCCTGCCTTAATACAAATATACAGTAAGATTTATGTGAAATGAAGTTACCCTGCCACTCATCTCCTGCTTCTTTTTCATGATTAA